GCTCGTGACCCTGAACTAGCTGCCTACCTCACCACACTGGTTCACTTTCAAATGGCTGTTATGAACCAAAACCGAGAGCCAGGACTTTCATCCGGTGGTCTCTTGGGCCATTTTTCTCTGCTTTCCCAGGTGCATTAGCAGCGAACTAGATCAGAAGTAGAGCAGCCACATCTAGAAACAGTGCTCATGTCGAAGCGAACCCCACACACTAGCTTTTAAGCTGAGCACAGAGACCCAGACAACTTTCTTTTGCCCTTTTAAATTACAAAAGCGTAAAATCAGAGGTTATTAATTTGTATAACTAACACCTGCCACAAAAGTTTGCACTTTTGCAGAGTATTGCTTCATAACTCTTCTTTATATGTTTTTTTTGTAAAGGTAGATATGTTTATTTGAAAGGAGGAAGGGGAGCCCCCCAGCACGATAGTCTAGTGGCTAAAGTCCTTGCCTTGCATGCACCAGGATCCCATATGGAAAAGTTCGTATCCTGGCCGCACCAATTCCCTTCTAACTCCCTGCTTGTGGCCTGGGAAAGCAGTCTAGGATGCCCCAAAGCCTTGGGACTCTGCACCCACATGGGAAACCTGGAGGAATCTCCTGGCTCCTGGTTTCAAATCAGCTCAGATCTGACAATTATAGCCACCCAGATGGAAGACCTTTTTCTGTAAGTTTGACTTTGTAATAAAAATAAATAAATCTTTAAAAAAAAAAAGAAAGAAAAGATAAAGAGGGAGGGGATGGTAGATAGGGGGAAGGGAGAGAAATCTTGCATCTGGTAATCCACTCCCCAGATGGCTCCAACTGCTAAGGTTGGGCCAAGCCAAAGCCGGTGGCCAGGAACCCTGTCCAAGTTCCCCATGTTTGCAGGGGCCAAGTGCTTGGGTTGTGAGTTACTGCTTCCCTAAGTGCAATAGCAGGGAGCCCAAAGGGAAGTGGAGCAAGCAGGACGTGACCTGGTGCTCCGACACAGTGCCACAAGCAGTGGCTCAATCCTGCTGCCCGAAGGCCAGTACCTATACCACTCCTCCTGAACTTGTTGTTCCTGTTCGTGTAACTTGTGCCTTTGGCACCAGCCTCCATTTTCAAACTCAAACCAACAGGAGTGGTGCGAAAAACTTTATACCTGTGGCAGCCTAGACAATAGAAAATAGCAACGGTAAAGTCTTGTGAAACGCCTCTGGGACATGTCCATAACCTGACCTTTGCCCATGACCTTGGGTTCTTGGAATGAAGAACCCAAGAAGAGCATGCTTATCTCATTCCAGGATGGGATCTTGCTTTTTCTTTTATAGCGCAGTCAGCTGAGCTATGAAACAATTGAAAACAATTGTCCCAAATTGCTTTCTTTAAATGGAGAACCTGTTTGCTGGGTTCTGTTATTCACTGATAGGTGGGTTGTGACTCTTACTGATTGGATAGTTTAAAGTGCAGTTTAAAAGGCTTAAATTGGGTATTTGTGTTCCGTGCCACTACGGTTGATTGGATAATTTGTGTTGTGCATTGATGTAAGCTTGGTCAAATGAATGATTTGCATTATGTGCCAGTGATGTCTTAGTTGTTTGGATGACTATCGTTTAAGACCCCCTGGACGCTGCTGACCGGGGCTGCTCCCCTTCCACGTGCGGTGGAATAAATGTGACGTCACACTGGTCAGTGCCAGCTGGTAAATAAAGACTCATGAGCTTCTAAAAGTCAGCTTCCAACTCATATCTGGGATATATTTGGTCAACTCGGAAATTTACTGGTCAGTCGGCTGGTACTGCACACCAGTCACTCCCCATGATTAAATTCTGTTGGTTTCCATAGGCCTTAGTTTTGGCAAACAAAAGTTCATCTATCTTCTCAATTTTATAAGTCACAGAAAGAACATGTGAATTGACACACCCTAATTTATATTTTGGTAAATACGGGGGATGAACCCAATCGTGGTGAGGTGAGATCATCACACATTTCCTGCCAGAGAAGGGCAGATAGCCACACTGGCCTCACGAATCAAAACATTTATGCACCACCTACTATGCCCAGGTTCATCCCCCAAATGACTCCACGGCTGGAAACGGGCCCGTTGGAAGCCAGGAGCATGCAGCGTCTCCCGGGTCTCCTATGTGGGTGAAGGGGTTCAAGAACTTGAGTCTTTTTTTTTTTTTTTTTTTGCTGTTTTCTCGGGCACATCAGCAGGGAGATGAATCAGCTGAGATTCAGACCGCACCCTTACGGGACGCTGGCACTGCACTATGCGGTGGCGCAGGCCCCATGCCCAGCTCCTGTCTCCAGCATCCTGTTAACGCACACTCGGGGATACAGCAGTGGTGGTTCAGGTCATGGACTTCCTGCCACCTGGACTGCGTTCCCAGCACAGTCACAGCTGTTGAGGGCATTTGGGGAATGACGCTGTGGATGAGAACACATGCTCTCTCTCTTCCTGCCTCTCAGATAAATTATTAATTTTATTAACTAATTAATTAAAAATCTTTAATCTGAAAAGGGCACATGAAATTGCTACAAAAATAACAAAGGATTGCTATTACACTCCAGTCTTAGTAGTGATTTCACTTCCTTAAATGGATCTGTAGTTGGCTCCAGTCTGGGTGAATCCTAAAACTCTGACTCTATATTTAAGTTTTGCTTTGATCAGCACGTACAAATCTGTAATTTCCTTTGCATCTGAACAAAGGAAGTCTTTTAAAAGTTCTTCCCTGGCCTTTTGCAGGATTAAGATACTTTGTTTCATGCAGCCATGTAGGACGAGATCATGATAAGACCCTCTCAGCACGCCCCCATTTCCTGTGGCTGCACCTTGAGTAATTTTCCAGTGAGTGGCTGGAGCTTCTAGGCAGGCACTGGCTCCCGGTTCACGCAGGGCTGAGGCCTGGGTCCAGCTGGGTTCCGCACTGAAGTCATGGCATCAGCTGGTTTGAGTTCTTACCTGGAGACAAAACTAAGTTTTTGGCAGCTGTCGAAGCCAGGGCAGGTGTTCCATTAAGGCCTCTGCTATTTGGAGTCTCTGTTTTCAGGGAACACCAAGCCCTTTCCCCCGCTCTGGAACATGATTTATAGCTCATGCAATTCATGGTCCTGAAGTGTGTAACACAAATTTATTTTGGTGTATTCATAGTTTTAACTAACACCACCAATTCTGGAGTATTTTCATTATCCAAAGGAAAAACCCTTTATTCATGAGTCATCTCCCATTCTCTCTAACCCTAAACCCTGATAGCTGCCAATTTTCTATGAGTGTTTCTTTTGCATTTGCCTGCTTTGGACTTGAGTATGAAAAAAGTTGTGCAATATATTGACATTTGTATCTGGCATCTTTCAGTTAGCACCGTTTCTGAGGTTCACCCATATAGCATATGCCAGTCCTTCACTCCCCTTAGTGCTTGCGTGGTATTCCATTGTATGGCTAGCTATAACCTAGTGAGAGCTCTCGCGACTGCTGACCCTTTGCTGTTGCAGACAGTATTGTAATTGATATCCCGAATGTGAATGAGTATCTGAACTAGCAGTTTCTGGCACTGGAGTTGCTAGGGCACGTGTGTATGCTTCAGTAATGATGACAGATGTGACCAACTTACAGCATTCACATTCTGCTTTTTCAAGTGTGAGGGGCTGTGTGTTGTGGCTAAGTGAAATAAGCAGCCACCTGGGATGCCCCCATCACATAATGGAGTGCTTGGGAGGAAGTCGGCTTCCGTGTCTGACCCTGGGAGGCAGCAGATGTTGGCTCCGAGTACCTGCATCCTTGCCTCCTGTGTGGGAGGCCTGGCTGGAGTTCCTGGCTCCCACTTGGCCCAGCCCCAGGGATGCAGGCATTTGGGGAAGTGAATCAGAGGTTGGAACGTCTCCGTCTTTTCAACACGTAAAAAGGAATAAACATTTTTTTAAAAAAATCTTCAAATAACTTAAACACTGTTATGGGGGCTGGTGCCCACCTGTGAATACAGGCAACGGTTCAAGTTCTGGCTGCTTCACTTAGGGTCCTGCACCCACGTGGAAGACCGGGAAGAAATTCATGGCTCCTGGCTTCAGATTGGCCTAGTTTCTACCTAGTGTTGTAGTCATTTGGGGAGTGAACCAGCAGATGGAAGAGCTCTCTGCTCTTTGCAGCTTAAAAAAAAGTGAATCTTTAAAAAAAAAAAAGACCACAAAATTTTCTTTTTTTTCTGTAATATACATTTAAGAAAAACTGGGGAAGTAAATTTCTAAAAGCCAGTATTAGCTTGCCTCTCAATCTCTCCAGGGCCAGTCCAGCTGATATTAGCTCATGAGGCTCCTTGAAAAGCTTCTGAATGCTTGATGGAATTTTAACAGCGGGGCAGGTGGGGGGTATTCTATTGTAAAAAGGCAAAAGCTGGTGAGAATGATAGGCAGTGCAACTCGCCTTGGCTCTCAGGTTCTAACCACTAACACCCCGCCCTCGCTCCATCTGCATGTCAACAGAGCACAAAACCATCATCATCATCATCATCATCCAGCATGCGCGGCTCCGAAGCTTCTTGCTCCATGGGAGGAGGGGAAGGTCTTGTGCACCTTCCAGCTTTCCCTGAGGACCGGGCCGCGGGCCAGCCTTCTCCTGGATGGCCCGCCTTCTCCAGGGGGGCCGGCCCGGTGGCTCGCCCAGCGCCGCGGGGGCAGCTGCAGCCTCGCAGGCCCCGGCGGGCGTCGAGGCAGCGGCCGGGCGTTGCCTTCACCCCTTTTGGCGGGCTCGGGCGCCTCGAGGTTCCGCCCCCCGGCACGGCGTCTCCGCACCGGCGGAGGCGGGCCCCGCGGTCCCATTGGCCCAGCCAGGCCGCGAACGGATCCGCCCCTCCTCGGGCCCGACGCGAGCACGTTGAGTGGCGGGGGGCCTGCAGAAGAACCGCCCGAGCGAGCGAGCGAGCGAGCGAGCAGCGGCTCCTGGGGCCGGCCAGCACGTTCGGGGGCGCCCCCCGGAAAGCTGCTGGGTTTTTTTTGTTGTTGTTTTTTTGGGGGGGGTGGCGGAGGGAGGGGCGGGGAACACGGCCCCAGGGAGGAAGAGGGTGGGTGGGCTGAGAGCAACTACGGCGGCGAGGCCGGCCTTTCCCCACAACACCCTCCACCACACGCGCCCGACGACCTTGTGTGTGGGTTAGAAGCTTCCCCGGAGCTCCTCGGACCGGCGCCATGGCGACTGCTGCGGAGATGGAGTCTCCTACGCCGACGGACACAAGCAGGGAAAGCGGCGGCGGAGACGAAGAGATGAAGCAGGCGCTTCCGGAGCTGGAGTCTGCCCCACAAAATGGCGGCGCTGACGACCTCCTCATCGCCGAGCCCGGCGGCGGAGGCGGCGGCCTCGGGCCTGAAGAGACGGCGGGCACCGAAGGCCCCCAGAGCGTCGGCCACGAGCGGCCTCAGGACTCCTCAGAGACGGGCGCGGCCGCTCTACCCAAAGGCCCCGGAGAGCCCGAAAGGCCAAGTAGGAGGAGTTTTCAGATCCCCAGGAAGAGCAGAGAAAAGAAAGGTGGTGCCTCCCCTTCTCCCCGACCCTCCTTTTTTTTTTTTTTTTTAAAAAACCTCCCCATCTCTCTCTCTTTTTCTCCCTTCCATCTTTTTCATTTGAATCTCTGTCTCCCTCTTCTCACACCCATCCGAGACACGCAAAGGCGCCCGCAGCGCCCGCTGCCACGGCGGTCCAGCTGCTGCTGCGCTCCGGGCGAGCGGGAAGCGGGGCAAGCACGCTCTGCTGCTCACCGTGTCCCCGTGCAAGTTTGCAAGTAGCTCAGGTTGGAAAAACCTGAGCCTCAGGAAAGACGGGGCGCGGCGCCCCTCCCCTCCCGGTCCCCGAAGGCAGAGAAGCTGACGGGCTAGTCTCCTAAGGATGTTTCTGAGAAGTTCTCCCGGTGGAAATGTAGCCCCGTGGCCATGGATTCTGGGGCTTTCTCCAAGCTCATGGCGTTCTGAGGATCACAAGTGCCGCTGCTCCCCGTGGAAAATTCTTCGGCTCTCTGTTGTCTACTTGATGTCAGCGTCTGCCCCCTTTAGTGCTCCCCATCAGTAGATGTGATCCATGCACACTGCTGGCTTTTTTTTCCCCCCCATCACACTCCATTTCCATGTAGACCTTTTCTGGTTGTGTTTGAAGACTTAGATTAAATAGGTCTCTCTTTTTAAATCCATACTTTTAGTGTGTGTTTTCTTGTATTTCAAGAGACCGGAAAGGTAGGTTCTTGGCGCAGTAATTTCCCTACTGGGGGGCAAAAAAGACGCTAGCTCATGCCCAAGAACCTCCAGCCTGGTCTCGCAGATGGCAGGACTCCAAATGGAAAAATTCAGTCTTAAGTGTTTGGAACCCATGAGAAACACATTAACTGTGTTTACCTGTCTCAACCTTGATGCCAATAAGTAGTCCATCGGCTGTCTTCTCTTGGGACAGTTTTGTTTATTCTGAATTTAGACAACTTTTTTTGCCCCACTGCATAGCTCGGTTTCTTTCGGCCTATGTTGGAAACTTGATTTGCAGATATTTTTGCTTGCTTGTTTACTGAGCAGCTCCTTTTTTACGCAGCTGTAGCCCTTAATGCCTTTTTATCAGCAATACAGAAGTGAAGTTTTTATTTGAATGACAAAGCAAAGGAAATACTTGCTTGGAGGAAACCCCCTTGACAGAACCTTTGTCCATGAACATAAGCAATGTTTGTAGAAATAAAGGAGTTAAATGTAAAGTCTTTCTGAACCCTCAGAAAGTTAGTTTTCAAAGGATTGTCAGTTGCTAAAGTATGAGGGAAATCCGACCTAAATTACTGAATACGCTGGAAGCAAGTTCAAATGGACTCGTAGGAGATTGAACACTTCTTTTAACTAGATCCAAAGCTTTGAAGTATTTTCAGGATTTCAGTGCCTAGGAATATGAGCAAGCCACAGTATACCTAAACTTTTTATTAGGAAGACAATTTTGCCTAAAAATCTTTTGGTTTGAGATGTGGGGCACCAGTAGGGCATGATTGCTGTTTCAGGTGAACCTAATTCCGAAAGTTGCCGTAACATAGGAATCAGATGAAAACACTGAATGGAGAAATGGTTGAGGATTTAGAAAATATAAGCACTAATCTCCCCGTAAAACCAATAATCCTTGGGAAAAAGTTGTTTTCAATTTTCACTTAGAAGGAAAAGATTGTAAACAGTAGAACAGTGGACACCCCCGTTTAAATTTTTTTTTTTTGGCTATATCCCTGGAGTTTATCCTCTCCAAATTACGAGAAGTTAGTCACTAAGTAGGATTTCAAGTCTTCCTTTCAAAAGGTGCTTCATCAGAAGCTGTTTTGCATTGCATTCCAACATCTTTAAGAAGGTCCAAAAGGTTATGGTATTCCTTTATGTATAGTATTTAACTGCATGTTACTGGTTTAGTCATGAGTCTCTTGCTGAAATGAGCACATGATTTTCAGCAGATTTTGCTCCAACGTTTTCATGTATCGTTGCTTCTTCAGTGAAATTTAAGAAAAGGATTTAATGTTAACGCTTTAAATTTAATGTTAACGCTTTAAAGAGTTACTTGAGCCACAAGATCCTTTTCTTGGTCTTGACAGTAGTGGAACATATCAGTACCGCTCTTCTAATTGAGTAGAGATGTTGACAAACTCCCAGTGAGATAGTAGGTATGTTGTTCTAAGAATTTTACGTATGTTAACTGAAATCTTAAAATTCTGTGTAATGGATACCGTTTCCATTTTATAGATGAGGAAACTGCAGTTCTGAGGAGTAACTACTTGGTCAGAAATCAGACAGGTAGTAAATGATAGAGATAGCATTTAAACTTTGGTGTAGAGTACTTTTATCCCTACTTGATTGTGTAGAAATTTATTTGGTAAGGATTTAGTTTTATCTTTTTGGTTGAAAAAGGAAAAACATTTGGGATTTTGTCTTTGGAGAATCTTAAGATGGGTTGTGTTCAGTATATCTGCATTTAATCATTATTGAAAGATTAAGTGACGTAATGCCTGGCAGGGTATACCTTTCACTGGTGTGATTATGATGTGTTACTCATTGGTTGGGCTATTTTCTGTCGTGTGAAGAGGCTCTCACAATTACCTAGATCAGTTGTGTCTTATGTTATTGTCATTACTATAAATCTAGCAAATGTCAGATATAGTCATCAGTCATAATTTTGAATTTTCCCTCCAGAGTTCTCTAGAAATGGAGTAATGATGATGATTTGTCTCCTGGGGAACGTTTATTGGTTAATGTTTTCTCTAGAGCACAAGGGAGTGTGAAAAATGAACTGCTCTTACACATGGATTCCATACTGGTTTAATCCATGAGAATGGCTAATTATCTTCCTCAAGCTCCATCTTTTTTCATTTTTTTTTCCTCCTGTGGAAGGCAGAGTTAGATTTATTGAGCGATCTTCCATCTTCTGGTTCACTCCCCAAATGGCTATGGTGACAGGGGTGTGGCCAGGCCTCAGCCTGGAGCCAGGAGCTCCCACGGGGTTGTAAGGACCCAAATATTGGGCCATATTCTGCTGCTTTCCTAGGCACATCCGCCAGGAGCTGGATCAGAAGTGGAGGAGCTAGGACTTGAATTGAGGCAGGGATGCTGCTCTGTCACAACACCACCCATAACCTTTTCCCACAAAATTTTCAGTTGCTTTTTTAAAAATCCAGTTGGATCAAGTCTCATTGTGAAGGAAGTGTTCATGATCTTTGGATAGTTGTGGATGGATGTCTGATCTTCCCACATAGAAGTGAATTCAGGAAGAACTTAGTGATACACATGAAACATTTAATGGTGCTTGTAAATTCTGAGAAATGAAGTAGAATTTTCTTTGACCTGTCCTTGGTCTGAAAAGTCAGGTTTCGTATTTCTCCTGCTTTCCTCTTGATTTGGTTCTTTCCTCTCAGGCCTGTTGATAGGGAAATCCTGATTCCCAAAATGTAAGACCTGAACATTTTCTTACATTGAAGAAAGTTTCTTTTCATATCTTATTTTAAACATGTGGATAGTGGTTATATTATAATAATTGTTAACCAGTAGCCATCAGTTTTGGTTTCAGACTTGTATAAATTACTTTAAATCAGAAAACCATTTATGCTTCATAGTACCAACTTCATATATATATATATATATGTATTTGATAGAAATGGCTTTTTAGTTTTAAAGATCTGAGTCTTTATTTTAAAGCCAGAGTTAGCTCTTCCATCTGCTGTTTCACTCCCCAAATGGCTGCTGTGGCCAGGGCTTAGCTAGGCTGAAGCCAAGAGCCAGAGCTTCTAGCTAGGTCTTCCTCTTGGGGTGTAGCGGCCCAAGCACGTAGGTTATTTTGCTGACTGCCTAGGCACATTGACAGAGGGCTAGATTGGAAATGGAGCAGCCAGGACTTGAACTGAATCTAGTCACTGCTCAGGCCCCCATCTTTTCAAATTTAGTATAGGTGTGTATGTGACAACTTTTTCACATATATGCATACTATACAAAGGTCTGTATTTACACTAAATTTGTAAAACGAATTGAGAGAACTGCTTTGATGAAAAACAATTTGCTGACCGGTTAGATCTGTTCCAACTGCTTAAATGTGACCTTCAGTTCTTGAGTTTCAGTGCTACCAACAATTTTAAAAGAATTCATAATATAGTTGGAAATCGGGAGATTTGAATTCTGTTTCCTATGCTATGAAACTATTGGTTTCCTTACCTGAATTAGATATTCCTAAGTACCCTTCTAGTTCTGTGTATTTAAGTCTCATAAATACTTCTGTAATCGCTTTGTCATTAGGAAAACGTTCGTTGATCAGAAATCAGCTATCTCTGACATGCATTTAATGGAAATCCTTCAGATAAGCAGCACTAGATTCCTTAATGTGTGAAGAGAACTTATGTTGCTATTGCTGCTAACATCTGTAAACCAAAATAAGGTGAAGGATTATGTGCAGGAAAATTAATTAAAAGCTTTGGTACTTTAAAGAAAGTTATTTCCCATGTCTTTTTAAAAAAGATTTATTATTGGAGAGGCAAATTTATATAAAGAAGGTGAAAGATCTTCCATCCACTGGTTCACTCCTCAAATGGCCACTCCGGCTGGAGCTGAGGTGATCCAAAACCAGGAGCCAGCTGCTTCCTCTGGGTCTCCCGTGTGGTCCCAAGGCTTTGAGCAATCCTCTCTTGTTTTCCCAGGGCACAAGTAGAAAGCTGAATGGGAAGTGGAGCAGCTGGGACATGAACCAAGACCCATGTGGGATGCTGGTGCTTAAAGGGGGAGAATTAGTCAATTGGGCCATCACACCAGACCCCTGAAGGCTGAATCTTAAGAGGATGTTGAAGAAATTAAAATCTAAAAATACTAAGGATCCGAACATGTTGGTTTTTGTATCTTTGAGATTTGAAAATTTTTTAATACTAGTTTTATGCAGTGTAACCTTACCAAACAGCTTACTACAGTTGTAAGTCCTACAACTCAGTGGTTTTAAATATATCTGTTAATCAATTTTGGAATTTTTTTTAAGCTGGGAAAGAATCTCATACCCATTTTTATTTAAACCCCTTGCTCCTAAATCCTCTTGTTTGTTCCTATTATCTCTGTAGAAAAATGATTAAAAGATTTGATGGTTGAAAGAGCATAGGCTGAGGAGTCAAAGCGTTTGTGTTTCACAGAAAATAGTTTCCCTATTTTTTTTTTAAAGATTTATTTATTGTTTTTTGGAAAGACAGATTCACAGAAAGGAGGAGAAATAGAAGTTCTTCTATCTGCTGGTTCACTCTCCACTTGGCCGTAATGGCCAAAGCTGTACCAATCCAAAGGTGGGAGCTGGGAACTTCTGGATCACCCATGCTGGTGCAGGGTTCCAAGGCTATGGGCCATTCTCTACTGGTTTCTTAGGGCATAGGCAGGGAGCTAGATGGGAAGTGGAGCAGTTGGGACATGAACCGGCACCTAAATGGGACCCTAGGAGTGCAAAGTGAAGATTTAGCCAATTGAGCCATTGCACCGGCCCCTCCTATGTCTTAAATTGTGTAAATGACTTTCTGACCTACAGAATACCCACATTTTCCCATCTGTTTGCATGGCTGGGGATTCCAACTCCATTTTACTTGAAGAGATTTGGAGCCAAACTCCCTGAACTTGAGTCTCAGTTGCCTTCTCATTTAGTAGTGGTATAGCCTTAGAATAGGGTGTTTAACCTGTCAATTTTGAGAAGTGAGCGTACTGAACTTGACAGTATGGTTTTGATGATCAGCTGAGGTAGTTCATAGAAAGTTCTGGGCATCTGTGGTGACTCACTGGTAGTTAGATGTAATGATTCCAGAGTAGAGAAAGTTGCATGATACATATGTGAAATGATTCATGTATAAAATCATCTTCCCATTTAGAGAACTTTGGTTTTTACTGTCTCAAATAATTGAGAATGTGGTATAGATATGTGTTCTTTAATAGGAGTGACAGATGTACTGATTAGCATATGTTCAGTATTGAGGCAGACCTCACATGAAAGATCACCAAGGAATATCTACTCAGAATGTGAACTTCATTTCTAACAGTGTGTTGACATGAAATCCTAAAAAAGTAGCTGTATACTTTTATTTTTGTAGAAAAGCTCATTGAAAGAAGATGAGAAATTCTAACTGGATTAGTAAAGGCACTGAAACATAGGAAACACAAAATACCTAGGGTGCAGGTATTTATTGTTAGACTAAAAGCTTCTTTCTCTGTCTTTTTTTTTTTTTTAAAGATTTATTTTTATTGGAAAGCCAGATATACAGAGAGAAAGATCTTCAATCTGCTGGTTCACTCCCCAGATGGCACAATGGCCAGAGTTGAACCAATTCAAAGCCAGGAGTCGAGTTTCTGGGTCTGCCACGTGGGTGCAGGGTCCCAAGGTTTTGAGCTGTCCTCGATGCTTTCCCAGGCCACAAGCAGGGAGCTGGGGGGTATACGGGGCCCGTATGGGATCCCCGCGTGTGCAAGGTGAGGATTTGTACCACTAGCCTACCATGCCGGGTCCTGTATTTTCATCCTGATGACAGTTTTTTGGGTACATTGACATGACTATAGGACATGGCTTTGCAATGAGATGAAAATATTATGTGCTGTTTTGGGAATAGCTAAACTTACCGTTCATAAAAATTTGTTTGACCAATTTTACGATTATCTTGATGGATGTGGTGTGGAGACAGCTTAACAATGTATGTAGACTAGTAAATTTTCATAGCAGTTTGAAGTTATGTGCTTGGTACATTTTAGATACCTGAGGATGGAACATTTTATTAACGTCTTGATATTTGAGTGTTGTTCCCCCTCCCCCGCCCAGCCGACTTGAAATCTTCCGATATCTTAATTGCATTACTATTATTGGCTTTTTAGAAAATTTGCAATCTGATCAATTATGTTTTACACAGTTTGTAACAGAAGACATGTTTTACTGACATTTCTGCAATGTTTGATTTTATCAGTGAATGGATCTCATTTGATGTTGTATCCTGTAAAGTCTACTATCGAAAATATAGGAAAAATAAGTTGCTAGCTGCTATATATTCCCTTTAAGAGTGTGTAAGAGTAGACTACCATTGCTTTAGTGGCTCCAGAGCATTTTGACCATGATATTTGTTGATTGTATATGTGACAGTGTTTAAAGCCATTAAGGTAATGAGTGCAATATGAACAGTTTCTATCTCCAGTGAACCAGAGCAACTTCTTTTTGATTTTGAGGAAATTTGTATGCCTATGGAGTTACGTTTGGAGTAAATTATTTTTATGCGTGAAGTGGAAAGTTGAAGTTACTGATGAGTTGTCTCAAAGAGCAAATTGGATTGACAGTTTTTAATTTGAAGCCCAAGAGAAACACGGAGCGATCAGGAATGTTTTACACTAGCTCCCTCCCCGAACACCTGCCACAGCGTCAGAAACCTAAGTACCCGAGTCAGCACTCCGTGATCCATTAGCTGGAAGCTGGGATCGGGAACAGAGCTGGGAGTCACACCCAGGCCTTCTGACAGGGCATGCAGGCACTTAACTGGCAGGCCGATGCCTGTCCCCTGTTGGATATTTGACTTAGCATCTTTTAAAAATAAATAGTATAGAAAATGAATGCGGCCATGGGGAGTAAAAGCTGCTAGTGACTCTGCCAGATGTGCTTGGAGCTTTTCCCCACTTTTTGTCATGGATGGCGTGGGGCGTGTAGTGGTAACCAGAATAGTGGGAGTTGTGCATTGTACACTCCAGAGAACTGAACTGTTTGGCTATGCAACCTGTGCGGCAATTTCCACAGTTAGTAAATGCTAGGCTTAGTATTTGTATTCAGATTTAACCCCAGAGCCCCACATAATTTACATTTTAGTGAGTTGTCATAATTATTTTGGCAATAAAGAAACAATTTGAGTATACTGCATTTTATTATTTCCAACTTTAGTAGCAAAAGTTTTGTACACAGTTGTCTAAAGTTTTTCTACTTTCATTTACGATGTAAGCATTTGGTGGAAATACCCGATCCTAGGTGTACTTTGCAAGTGTTAACAAAATGGCAGCTGAGATAAACCTAGTATTCAACCTAAGCCTTTTGGGTTGCCTAATGTAGTGTCCAAAAGGTTTTGCAAAATTTCAGCTACCTTGTATTTGTGTCATGTTCTCATGGTTGATGGAACTGGTCCATGTAGACAGCTGGTCTTGAATTTGTAAAAGGTTGATCTATTTATTTTAACGACAGAGTAACAAGGACAAATAATTCCCATCTGCCTGTTCACTCGAAAATGGCCACAACAGCCGGGCTTGCCCATCATGTCTGCGTGTGAGTGGCAGAGGCACAAGTGGGCCGTCTCTCTGGGTCAGATGGGGAACCTGTGCCCATGAGGAATGTGGTGACTTATGGGTTGTGCCACAAGGCTTGCCGCTTAATTTTCTTCAGTGAATTGATTAGTAGTTCTTTGTATGCCACCAAAGATATACTTGATGTCTTAATTTTCACTTACCGTTAGATTAGCCCACAAAAATAAGAAAGGCTGCCTTTATGATGGAATAATCCTAAAATTACTAATGTTTTTTTATTTTAGCACTTTTCCAGCCATTAACTCCAGGTTCTCGAGAATTTGAAGATGTTTTAAATATTCTCCATTCATCTTACCTTGAACCAGCTTCAGTGGCAAATTTTACCTACAAACGTGCTTGCTTGATACATAATGAGCTCTTGGAAAAGGAGGTATGTTTTTAATTCTATTTATTGTAAGATAACAGCAGAGGACTAAAACTTTAGTAAAGCCAATTTAGGAATGGGAAAACATTTTTGGAGGGCATCTTTTTTCTTTTTTTTATTTTTTATTGTAAAGTCAGATATACAGAGAGGAGGGGAGGCGAAGATTTTCTGTCTGTAGATCCACTCCCCAAGTGGCCGCAAGGGCCAGAGCTGTACTCATCCAAACCCAGGAGCCAGGAGCTCCTTTCTGTCTCCCACACCTGTGCAGGATCCCAAGGCTTTGGGCTGTCTACTGCTTTTTCAGGCCACAAGCAAGGAGCTGGATGGGAAGGTGGGGTGGCCAGGATTAGAACTGTCGCCCACTTGGGATCCTGGCGTATGCAACGTGAGGACTTTAGCCGCAAGGCTGTTGTGCTGGGCCCCCTGAAAGTAAATCTTAAGCTAAAAATACTTTAGTACATAAGTTTAATTGCAAGTTCAAAATTAAGCTTTTTATTCTTTGGTTTATTTTGAGCAAGTAGTAATCTGTTTGAAGGTGGTTGACGAAATCAAATGTGTGTGTGTTTGGGGTGTCCTTATGTTTTCTATAGTTATTTCTTAATGACTGGAATATGTTAATATAATTAATGGAAATCTTAAAAACTAGAAAGGGGAATAGTTGAACATGTTAGCTTAGCTTTTCATGTATTAATTAGAATATTCTCTGAGCTTTGAATGAATAAGAGCCATCCTGTGTAATTTGAAGTCATACAATTGAAATACTTAGAAATAATGTGTGTGTGTAGTGGATGTGAAATACTATTAAATTTGTACTTTTACAAGTTGAACCAGTTAGTAAAAAAGTTAATTTTGAAAAGATTCTTCAAGGGCATTAATGTTATTCCCACACAACATTAAAACCTTGATAAAACATTAAAATCCTGATAAAAATGATATTTTATATTTGATTTGTATTTATTTGTATCTGAAAGTGAAAACCAGCATTTTAGAGGGTGATTGACAGGTAATAAGTCGCTCTTCAGTATTATTTATATGTGTGGAGGACGTTTACATGCTTGGCATGGAGATGCCAGTTCAACGAAAGTTTTCCTGTTCCTGATTGAGTTTGTAATCTAGAAGCTGGTGGTTTAATTCAGAGTCATCAAACCCCGTGCTGTAGGCTGTACATGACATGAAGGAAAATGGGGGATACAGAGATAAGTAATTCTTGATTTGTGGCATAATTGAGTGATACTTTTTTAGTCAGAAATTAAAATCCAGAAACATGAAGTGCTCACTGAGCCCCGGGCTTGTACAGGGAAGAGCCGTTGGAAATGGAGAAGAGGGATAACTTGTTCTTGAGTAGCAGGAACTGTCCTCGAATACTCTTTTAGCCCTTAGATTTAAAATGTAATTAACAATTAAGTTGTTATAGATCGAGTTTTCTTTAGTTTACAGAAAAGCGAAAAGAATTGAAGTCTGATGGTCGTGTAGATAAGGAACTTTCCGAATCCTACGCGTTTCTCATGGTTGATCGATACCAGGTGAGTTAACTCTGCAGAGTCGCTTGAGAATGCTTCCAGTGTAAGGTACTAATTATGCATTCATTCAGCAATATATTTGTCATAGTATAAATTAATATTGCTTGGCTATGTAAGTGGAAAAATTTAGTTGATTGTTTCATAGTTTTAGATATACTAATTCTTTTTTTTTTTTACTAATCCTGTTTTCATTCTCTAGAATTGGGCTGATAATTAATTCATCTCTGTTTATTAAAAAAAAATTGTTTTCTGGTGGGTGTTTGGCCTGGTTGGTGACACCAGTTTACTTACTTTGCTGGAGTGCCTGATTTGAATCTTGGCTTTGGCTCTGGATTCCGGCTTCTTGCTGGGTGCAGACCCTGGTAGGCTCAGGCGATGGGTCAGCCACACAGACTTAGGTCAAATTGGGCTGTTGATGGCATTTGGGGGTAAGCTAGCCAAGGGGGGCTGTTTGCATCCCTCCCCACAATTCCCCAGTCTGTTTCATGATGTAAAAAAATTATACCTGCTTATAATCGTTCAACTGAAAGGTTGCAGATTTTCAGTGAACTTTAGAACAAAATAATGCAGATTCTTGATCTCTTTGAAAGAGAATGAGTGTGTGTGAGTGGCTGGAATTCCCAGAGTGTCACAGCTTGCATCAATATAAGTGAAATCCACAGATGGTTTTCACATTGATTTTTTTTTTTTTTAAGATTTATTTTCCTTGCAAAGTTAGATATACAGAGAGGAAGATCTTCTGTCCAATGATTCACTCCCCAAGTGACCACAATGGCCCCTGCTGAGGCGATCTAAAGCCAAGAGCCAGGAGCTTCCTCCAGCTCTTCCACACGGGTGCAGGGTCCCAACATACCGGGCCATCCTCGACTGCTTTCCCAGGCCACAAGCAGGGAGCTGGATGGGAAGTGGAGCTGCCGGGATTAGAACCAGCGTCCATATGGGATCCTGGGGTGTTTAAGGCGAGGACTTTAGCCACTAGGCTATGGTGTCGGGCCCTTCACATTTATTTTTTTTAAACTTAAACTGGTATATAACATTTCAGTAATGTAGAAAATACACACACATAATTGAGAATCTTAGGTTTTATTTAGAACATAAGTTCATAAATTTTCATCATGTCAGTGTTATGACCTCCTTTGTTTATTTAGGTTCAAGGCATTTGTGAAAAAGGATTGGAGGTTGGACAGTCCAAAATAACAATTCTTGGCAGTCCTTCCATGGGTAATGATTCTTTTTTATTTATATTTACTTAATGTTAAGTCGATGATTAATGTATTATATTGGGTAATTATTCTGCAGTCCTTATAATTCATGCTTATTTTGTCATTTTCTCAGAAAAAGACTTGGGTTCTGAAAGCTAAAACCGGTTTTCATATTTCTGATTTTTCATTCTTCTGATAAAAGGTCATTACACTTAATAATTTTTTTAATGCCTAATTCTAGCCCTAGTGGGTTTGAAAAACATAATTTCATGTTTTTTCTGGCTTTACTATTGCATTTATTTGATACCTGCTATATTTACTAGCCTTACTTTTTTTTTTTTTGAAAAGGTGTTATAGCTTTTATCTCTTATTTGGGTAAATATAATTTTTTTAATGTTCGGTCTTATTAAAATTCTTTAATTTTCCCCTCTTTATTAGGTATCTATCTTTGTAGGTATGCTGATTTATTGCAAGCTAATCCTTTGGAAGCTGGGGCAGTGGGTGATGTTGTTATTTTTAAAATAATGAAGGTAATGTTAAATTTTATGTTCTATATAGAAAAGATAGCATTTAATTGGATTTTAGTTTTCACTTAATTGTTACAGATTTCTTGTTTCTTTAAGATTTATTTTATTTTTATTGGAAAGTCAGATTTAAGGAAAGGAGAGACAGAAAGATCTTCCATCTGCTGGTTCATCTCCAAGTGGCCACAAGGGCCGGAGCTGAGCTGATCCAAAGCCAGGATCTGGATCTCCCATGTGGGCACAGGGTCCCAAGGCGTTAGGCTGTCCTTGACTGCTTTCCCAGGCCACAGGGAAGGGAAGTGGATCAGTCAGGATGCCAACTGGCACCTATGTGAGATCCTGGCACATGCAAAGCGAGGACTTTAGCCACTAGGCTAACACGCCTGGCCCAAGTTTTAGAGTTCATGTTTTCTGGTGTTAAGTGTTTGAAGATACTTTTGAGAGATAATTTGTTTGCTGTCTTTGATCAATGCTAATTATGTTAAGTTTTCTTTCTTTCATAAGAAAGAATGAGAAAGAGGAGGATAAATTGTTAACTGTAGTTTATGGTAGTGAAGAATGTCTCTTGCGGAAATTCTGTTGTTGTTAAATAACCCCATACAACTCTTATGGTTTTTTCCTTATATCTTCAGTATGTAATAAGTGTTTGATACTGATCAGGGATTCAAGGGGAAGGATGTAAAACAGTATTCTATCATGTAAATACAATATATTTAATATGGCTAGGTGAATACTTAACAGGTTTGTCTATTTTAGGGCAAAATCAAGAGTATATTTGATCCCATGGCTGTTAAAAGTTTGGAATCCATGTTGAATAAAAGTGCCTTGGATCCAACACCAAAGCATGAATGTCATGTGTCTAAGAATGCTTGTAGAATTACGTCACTTTTGGCATACAGAGCCTATGAGCTTACTCAGGTAGGTTCCTGGATCTCTTGTTGTTAAAACCTCGTATTTGTTTATCACAAGATCCTTAAATGCTTCCTTTTCCATTCCCTCTGCTACCACACTGCGGTTTCTATAGATTAGCCTCCAGTGTCTCTTACTACTGCTTCATGAGTTTTTCCAAATCAGCTGAGTGGCTGGTCCTCAGACCTACAGGCTCGTTTCCAGTCCCTGGATCTAACTTGAAAAACCCTGCCTATATTCTGTGGTCTTTGGCTAGACATTCGTCTGACCACTGATCCCAAAACTTCTCATTTCATTCCATTTTGAAACCTTGACTTTTCTGAGCCTGTAAAATCTGCTTTGTAAGATAGTACTTCTTGTTCAAGATAAAGTTGATACCTCTTGAAACAGTACATACACTGTACTATTGTGTTGACATTTTATTTTTGTTAGCTCCTTTCAGATGCAAAGTTAGAATTAATTGATGTAAAGTTTTATTTACACTGTAAAGAACTCATTTAAAGATGTCACATTTAATGCATTTTACTCAAAGCTTATGAGGTTTGTCTTGTAGTGTTAGTGTTTTTAAAAACATAAGAATGTGTGTACTCAAATGGATTTTGGGTGGAAAATAGTGATGTTAACCTTTCTGGAAATGTTCTTTAATTTTTACTTTGTGTAAAATAAAATGTATTCCTGTCCTGTCTCAAAGAATCTTAGTAGTAACCACCTACTATTGATTATTATCAGTCATCTGGAGTTGACTCATTGATAAGCTTCTGGGCAGTAGTAGTTCTATAAATATAACAAAAGCATTACTATTTTCATAGTCAACAAAACCATTGTTGGGAGTCATTTCCTAGGAGAATGGACTTAGTAGGATAATACTGTATTGTTTATAAATTCAAGTAGTTTTTTTAAAAGTGAAATTTAATAGCTTGAAAGTTACAGAAACTCTTACATAATAAATTTGGTGAGAAGGTGAAGGATTATGGGAAGAGGATCTGTTTCCTTTGTCACTGATGTTTTTATTGTTTTCCATTTTGCCTGTGCTGCTTTACTTGCAGTTGGAGCTTCATACATTTTTCTTTTGAAGTAATAAAAATGGTGGTAGTATGTAATGGGGATTGTGTGTTTAGTATTTTGCTTTTTGTGTCAAGTTGACTTCTAGCTTTACGTGGGAGTTTACGCTCCACTTGTACTGTTTTTATTTGGAAAGAAGTTGGCATATTGCAGGGGGAAATTCTTGAGAAATAAACGCTCGGATAGTTTGGAGTACCCTGGGATCTGACACATAGGAGCAGAATAGTTTATACCTTCTTTCAAGTGACAAAACTTAAACATACTTGTCAGAAGTGCCTAATGATCTTAAATTTCTCAAAAATCAGAGGTAAATACATGAATTGAGTCTAATTCTCACTTTCTGCATTTTTAAATTTTTAGTATTATTTTTATGAGTATGGCTTTGATGAGCTAAGGCGAAGACCAAGACATGTATGTCCGTATGCGGTGGTGTCCTTTACGTACAAGGATGAAATACCGCCTCCCAAGTTTGCAACTTCACGGTAAGACGTTTTAGATATGATGAATGGTATAGTACAGATCCTGTGTTGCTGAGTTACAATCGCTTTCTTTCCTTCTCTCTTTTTTTTTTTATTTCTCTTTAGAAATTAGATACCCAAGAGTTTATGGTGACTTTAGGGTGAAAATGCAAACTGAAATGTGTTCAAACCTCAGTTTATTAACCTCTTTTTTTGTTTTTTAAAAGACACAGTTAGAGGGACAGATGCCTGCAATGGTAGGGCTGGCCATCATCTGAGTCTACTGTGTGCATTTGGGTCATCTTCCTCTGCATTTTCAGACCATTGGCAGGGAGCTGGATCAGAAGTAGAACAATTGGGACTTGAACCAGCACCCACGTGGAATTCTGGCATCGCAGGCAGTAGCTTAACCTACCACATCACCCTGCTACCGTTAACCACCTTTTTTTTTTTTAACGCGGAATGAATTTATTTTTTTCTTAAGATTTTAGGATCAAACTTTTTTTGTTTTAAAGATTTATTTCTGTTTTAAAGATTTAGAGAGGAGAGAGACAGAGAGATCTTCCCATCCGCTAGTTTACTCCCCAAATGGCTGGAACTGACTGGGCTGGTCCAAAGCCTGGAGCTGGTGCTTTTTCCGGATCTCGCACATGAGTGCAGGGACCCAAGCACTGAGGCCACCTTCTGCACATTGGCAGGGAGCTGAGTTGGACATGGAACAGCCAGAACTCCCAACCAGCAGATATATAGGATGCTGGCACTCCAGATGGAGGCTTAGCAGGCTATGCCGTGGTGCTGGTCCCAATAATCTCTTGATATTGAAGGTTTGTGTAGTAGCATAAATGGCACAGTTACTTTTTTCTCATTTGAACATTCATTTCATCAGGAAGGCAAATTTAGACAGGGAAGGAGAAAAAGATCTTTTATCCCTACTTCACTTCTCAAATGATCTGAAATGGTCAGCTGAGCTGATTCAAAGCCGGGAGCTGGGAGCCTCTTCTGAGGTGTCTCACAAGGGTGCCGGGTCCCAAGACTTTGGCCATCCTCTACTGTCTTCCCGTTCAACAGCAGCGAGTTGGATGGGATGTGCTAAATGGCAGGGTTTTTTTTTTAAGATTTATTTATTTTTATTGGAAAGTCAGATATACAGAGAGGAGAGACGGAGAGAAAGATCTTCCATCTGATGGTTCACTCCCCAAGCTGCCGCAATGGCTGAAGCTGAGACAATCCGGAAACAGGAGCTCTTCCGGGTCTCTCATGCGAGTGCAGGGTCCCAAGGCTTTGAGCCTACCTTGACTGCTTTCCCAGGCCACAAGCAGGGAGCTTGATGGGCAGCAGGTTATAATCCAAATCATTGATATATAATTTTTTTTTATTGGAAAGTCAGATATACAGAGAGGAGGAGAGGCAGAGAGGAAGCTCTTTTGTCCAGTGATTCATTTCCCAAGGGCTGCAACAGCTGGTACTGCATCAATCTGAAGCTAGGAGCCTCCTTCAGGTCTCCCACATGGGTGCAGGATCTCAAGGCTTTCGGCCATCCTCATTTGCTTTCCCAGTGCACAAGCAGGGAGCTGGATTTGAAGCGGTGCTGCCAGGGTTAGAACCGGGGCCCTTATGGGATCCCTGTGTGTTTAAGGTGAGGACTCGTAGCCACTAGGCCACCACGTTGGGCCCTATAATTACTATTTTTCATAAGTAATCTTTGAAAGATGCATAGCACATATGTGATTACACCCCTATGACGTAGCAGGTGAAGCTGTGGCTGTAATGCAGTCTCCCATGTGAGCACCAGTTTGAGTCCCACCTGCTCCACCTCAGTTGTCACTACTGATGTGGCTGGGAAAGCAGTGGAGAATGCGTCAAGTACTCAGGTGTCTGCTTCTGCATAGGAGATCCAGAAGAAGCTCCTGGCTCGTGCCTTTGGCCTGGCTTAGCCCTGGCTGTTGTGGCCATCTGGGGAATGAACCAGCAGATGAAGGATCTCTTGTTTTTCCCTGCCCCTCTCTGTGTAATGTTACTTTTGAAGTAAATCATTAAAAATTCCATGTTTACCTACATACCATTTCAGGCAAGCACTGAATAGAGGCATTAAGGCCATGCCTCTAGTGCACTACTGCATTTGCTGTTTCCTCTCTGCTTGTATCTGCATGGTTCACTCCTACACTCCTTTCATTAAGCTTTCCTTAATTTTTTTTAAATCCCTATGCAAATTACAGTGACGTTTATTTTCCTATTTGAAAGAAGAGTTTAATTATGCAGTGTGCTTTTTTAAGTGGTAATTATATCAAGATCCTAAATGTTAACTTTCATGTTTTCAATCAGTAATGATTTCTCTTTTTAAAAATTTATAGATCTAACAGCTTTAATGCGGACAGAAACGTAGGTAAGATTTTTATGTTTCTTTGATTTTTTTTTTATTGAAAGATGAGTAAATGTAAAAAAAAAAGTGATTAATGTGAGGTGGTTCCTTTTTGTATTTCTTAGAGAAGAAGATTCCTTCTCGCTTCCTTTCCCCCTGTTAAGAGAAGCAGAGCTCAGGTCATACGTGAGAGTGACAGGGCTGGGTCAGGAAGCTTGGAGGTAGACACAGTATAGGTCTCCCACGCGGGTGGCAGGGATCCAGTTACCTGAGCCGGCCACTGCTGCCTCCCAGGGCCTGCGTCAGCAGGAGGCTGGAGTTGGGAGTATGAGCCAGGGCTTGCATCCATGTGACAAGGCATCTAATCAGTAGGTCACGTGCCTGTCACTGACAGATAAGTTTATTGATTTAAAGATTTATTTATTTATTTATTTATTTTTAAAGATTTATTTATTTTTATTACAAAGTCAGATACACAGAGAGGAGGAGAGAGAGAGAGGAAGATCTTCCGTCCCATGATTCACTTCCCAAGTGAGTGCAATGGCCAGTACTGTGCCTATCCGAAGCCGGGAACCGGGAACCTCTTCCAGGTCTCCCACATGGGTGCAGGGTCCAAAGACTTTGGGCCATCCTCAACTGCTTTCCCAGGCCACAAGCAGGGAGCTGGATGGGAAGTGGGGCTGCCAGGATTAGAACTGGCGCTCATGTGGGATCCTGGGCGCATTCAAGGCGAGGACTTTTAGCCGCTAGGCCACGCTGCCAGGCCCAAATTGATTTATTTTTATTGGAAAGGCAGATTTACAGAGAGAAGGGGAGACGGAAAGCAATAGTTTTCATCGTCTGGTTCTCTCCCCAGAGCTAAGCTGATTGGAAACCCAGGAGCCAGCAGCCTCCATGTGGGTGCAGGGGCCGAAGGTTTTGGGCCATCCTCTACTGCTTTTCAAGGCCACAAGCAGGGAGCTAGATGGGAAATGGGAGCAAGCGAGACACAAACTGGCACCCTGTGCTTGCAGACAGAGGATAAGTCAGTTTAGCCTCACACCAGCTACTTTGTTTGAATTTCCTTATGAATAAACATATATCCTTTTATACTTGAAAACCTTGTTTTTAAATACTTTCCCTCATTTCTAGTCAACCTGAATTTACTTCTCTGGCTTGTCAAGAGACTGAGTTATGTCATTTTTTTATTTAGATAAATTTAACTACACTCTGTGGAAAGGACAACTTTTAAATAAAGGAAAACTTCTGTGTTACATTTCTTTGAGATCACCTACTCGAGCTTTTTTGCCTGTCAAGCTGTAAGTATGTTATATTTTAAGAGAATAGTAGTTGGTAGTTGCTAATTATTTGTTTTTTCGGTTCTTATTTTATATTTAAATTTCGCTTTGGTTCTTAAGAACCTTGATATATTTGTTATTAACAAGAACTTTGGAGTTGATTGGCACAATGAGCCTTTGTCATAAATTTTGTCATGCATTCATGTGTATGATGTACAACTTTAGTGATTTTAAATCTGGAAAATAATTTCTCTAAAGTTTCATCCTAGCTGGATGCGTTTCTTATTTAAAATTCGACTGTAAGAGTTAAACATGAACAGTTTCTTTTTGGAAAGCACTTTTAAGTGGTGAATTTGGTTAAAACATAGATAGTTCTCAGTTTTATGCAATATGTATTAAAATAAATTTTTTTGTGTGACTGCCACTCTAAACTCCTTCCTATATGTTCAGAGACCAACAGGTCATATTTTTACTTATCTTTAATGAACTGATAAGCTTTTAATACTTGGCTGGTAAAATTGGTACACAGGATTAACTTCTGGCTGATGCTGCTAGACTTGTCTTTCTGTGTGGGTATTGACTTAATATACCAAATGTATCAAACTCCCGTGTAAAATAAAACAGGATGTTAATTCTTATATCTTGTTTTCCATTTTGTGTGTGTGTGTGTGTGTAAGAGAAAGAAAAGGACAACATTGCTAGAGATAAAAGTAGGAACGGCAAACATGCTCTTCTGATTTTCTTTCAGTCCTGAGAAGTTAGATGTTGAAACAGTTATGAGTATTGATCATCTGAAACAGAAAATCCCTCCAGCACTGTTTTATAAGGAAACATACTTAGGCCCGAGTGAAGGTAATGTAATTTGCTTCTATTAAAAGATTTAAAAAGCAGACTTCAGTTGGATATTTATTCTTTTTTTCTCCTATCAGTTTTGAAGAATGGGATGTACTGCAGCGTTTATGAAGTTGTAGAGAAGACAAGGATTGGCAGTAACATGGAGAGTTTACTGCAAAAACTGGAGAAAGAAAAACTGGTGAGTAAAAGGCTTTAAAGTCTTCTTCGTTTTCTTTCCAGAATGTGCCTATTAGTAAGTGGCCATATTAATATTTTTATTTTGCTTCTCAGAGTAGCAGGGAGTCTCTTTGTTGCTAATCAGTTAACAGTGTTTTACTATGGCTTCTAGGACTCTTTTTGCCCGTGTCCAAGACCTATAGACTAATTTTCTCTGTTAAAGTGTCTGCTTTGTTGATGATAAAATTCATAGTAATAAATACATTCACTATCACTTTCTTAAGCAGGGAATATCATTTGGTAATGAATAAGGGAAAGATACTCTGTCCCCTGGTTTGTGTTAAGATTGCAAAACAGGGCCTAGCAGTAGCCTAGTGGCTAAATCCTTACCTTCCATGCGCTGGGATACCATATGGGTGTCAGACAGTTCATATCCCAGCTGCTCCACTTCCCATCCAGCCCTCTGCTTGTGGCCTGGGAAAGCAGTCAAGGGCAGCTCAAGGCCTTGGACCCTGTATACCCTCATGCGACACCCTGAAGAGGCTTTTGGCTCCTGCCTTTGGTTCAGCTTAGCTCCAGCCATTGCAGCCACTTGGGGAGTGAACCAGTGTTTGAAAGATCTTTCCCTATCTCCTCCTCTCTCTATATCTGGCTTTCCAGTAAAAATAAAATAAATCTTTAAAAATAAAAGTGAGAAACAGTTCAGGTAGATAGCGTTTTGTTCCAGTATAGACAGCAGCTAGTATGATTTCCAAAAGCAAAAGAAACCTGGAGAATTTGAAGAGGGAAAAGTACACTAGAGTAGTTGAAGGGAGTCGAAGATGAGGTGACCATGTTAACACAGCCTCCTTCAGGCCGTGTTCAGATGTGTGGGGGTTTGGAGTTGTTTGTATGAGCATCGGATTTGAAGAGTCCAAAGGAGTGGAATGGGATAGATATGCAGCTAAATCAGATTTGTGTTTTGACATCTTGCTCTAGTTACTGTAGAAAATAAATTCAGCTGGGTAGATGAGGTGAAATACTTATTAGTGTGTCACATTGGGGTGATGAGAAAGGCAAGAATAATAATAAGAGTCTGATTTAAGGGATATTTACTAAGTAGAATCCAGTTTAGTAGGTATTGAGTATAACTTGTTCAGGGAGAGTGATTGAGTGAGATACCAGATTGTGATGGGCTGGAGTGAATGGAAAATGAATATATGATACCAGTTATCTATGGTTTAATTGAAGGAGAGATGGTTGCTGGGAAGGGAAGTAGCTATACCAAGTTTTACATTTTGAAAAATCACAATATATTTAATATATTTAAATTCAGAGTTCAAAGGGTTTAGATTTGGAGAGAGATTGAATTAGCTCTAAATCTGGTTCTTGTGTTTCAGAGAATGGTATTGAAAATGTAGGAAGTAGGGAATCCCCTATTGTCAGAAAAATTCCATGTCTTCAGTTCCTTGAGTTGGTGTAGTGATATTTCTGGCTAAGCCTCAGCCTGCAGTGCTGACATCCTGTAAGGGCACTGGTTCAGTTCCTGGATGCTCCACTTCTAATCCAGCTCCATACAGGATTGCAGCAGAGGATGACCCAAATCCTTGGGCCCCTGCACCCACGTGGGAGACCCAGACAAAGTATATGGGTTTGGGCTGGCCCATTTTCAGGTATTGCAGCCATTTGGAAGTGAACCAGTGGATCTTTTCTTGTCTTTGCTTTCTGTAATACTGCCTCTCTGAGAAACAGAAAAATATTTATTTAGTTGAAAGATTTACAGAGAGACGGGGGAACAGATCTTCCAACTGCTGATCCTCTCCCTCAAATGGCTGCTGGAGTTGCTCCAGGGTGAAGCCAGGGGTCCAGCCTATCCTCTTGGCTGATTTCTGCTGCTGTGCCAGGGCACTGTTAGGCAGCTGGATCAAAGTGCAGCAGCCGGGAATTAAACCTTGTGTTGATGTTGGCGTCGCGGGAGCAGTTTTGTATGCTGTGCCACGACAGCAGCTCATGAAGTGGAATCATTAAATCATACGTATACTTGACTGGCATTTCAAATAATGCCTCTTTTTTTTTTTAAAAAAAAAAGATTTATTTATTTTTATTGGAAAGTCAGATATATAGAGAGGAGGAGAGACAGGATCTTCCTTCCACTGGTTCACTCCCCAAACAGCCGCAACAGTTGGAGCTAGGCTGATCCGAAGCCAGGACGCAGGGAGCTGGATGGGATGTGGCGCAGCCGGGATTAGAACTGACACTCATATGGGATCCTGGTGCGTGCAAGGCAAAGAGTTCAGCCATTAGGAACCGTGCTGGGCCCAATGACAATCTTTTAAAAGTTAATTATACTAGATTATATTCCTATCCTTCAGCAGCAGATTAATTTGTGTACTCAAAAGTAGTTTTGTGTATATAAGACTTTGGCAAAAACTTACAAATCTAGTAAGTATAAAGAGCTGTCTGAAGTGTAATTAGCTTACATTTTTTCAGATTTGCTTTATTTGAAAGAGTTGCAGAGGAGGAGAGAGAGAGGCAGTTCATCCACTTCCAGAACGGCTGCAGTGGCTTGGGCTAGGCTAGCCAGGCGCTTCTTCCTGGGTCTGGTCTTTTATGTAATCATGAGACTGGCTAGTTGTGCAAATACTTCATTCTAGTGGATCCAGCATTATCTTGAAATGTGGCAAATGCATTTTGCTATTTGAAATTTTTTAGGTGTTTTTGCTAAAATTTTCACTCTAGGTTGAATGAAGTTGTGACTACGGAACTTGGATACAGAGGGAAGAAAGCTTAATTGCAAAGCTTTTGTTTGCAAGTGTTTTAAGTATATTAATTTCATTAATAGTTAAAGTTTTCTTTTTTCCTCTTGAGTCAGTTTATATTATGATTTTGCTCATATCTTTGAAACTCATTTACTGGGATAAAATATTTTTTACAGTTTATTTAATACCTACAGCTACACTGTTTCTCGTTTTGTTTTGCCTTGTCTCACCAGTCACTTTAACCAGGAGTTTGTCAATGGTATTAGTGTTGTAAGCCAGATTCTTACTTTTATTCTGCTGTATGTGTTACTGTTTGGTAGTTTTATTCTACTTTATTTTGTTGTTTAAAAATATTTTCAAGTTGGAAAAAAGGTCAGTGAGTATTCAACTTAAATATTGTGCTAGTAGCATTCTGCATCTCATTATGTATTTTTCTTATTATTCAGTTGTTAGTAGTTTTTCCACATAGTTTCTACTTTGACATGTGATTAGAAATCGGTACCTGAGATGTTGTTTTTGGGTTTCTCTGTTACGTTTATCCTCATCTCTTGCTCTTTTGCCAGTCATACAAATACTGTGATGCCTGTAAACTCTTCATTGTAACTGCCCGATGTAATTTGCCTTTGCTCATGACGCTCTCTCTTTTGAAATGGTCTTGCCGTAACTTCAGACTGTCTGGTCAGCGTGTCAGAAGCTACCTTCAAGTACCCTCTCATGAAATCCTTTACCTGTTGTACTGCCATAAACATTCGTGTGTCTTCTTTCAATGTCTTAGGGTAATATTTTCAATCTTGGTATTACTTGTGTTATAAACTTCCCATGGTTAGACCTTGTCCTGTTTGTCTTTAAAGTTATCTCTGGCAGGGACACTCGTCTGCCCTGTGAGAGGTGTTCCTTTAATATGTGTGGAATTAGAGCATGGCAACACATTTCATTCTAAATCGGCCTCCACTCTACAAAGGTAGAATTACAAAGCGTGTTTTGTTTGTAGCACTTCGTACGCTGCTTTGGCATTAATAACATCCTTTGAATTGATGAGAGAAATGTTTGACGTTTCAGATTGGTTGTCTTGTTGTAACCTCAGAGTAAGCTGAACACACAGGCTTTATAGTTCATTAGGGTCATTGCTTCAGTGACGTTTTTTAACTCTATTATGAAAACAGGGAGTTTTCGATTGAAAAATAGGTAAAAATTTTTTTTAAGTAGGTAACATTTTCCTCTAAAAAAGATGAACAAATTTTTTTCCTTTTGTAGGAAGTACTTTTTTTTTTTTTTTACCATATGTGTATTCATAATAAAGCAGATAAAACTTCTTCCTTCTCCCCAAAACACAGGTTCTTGTTAAACCTTTGCAAGACCGTGGATTTCTTTTCTTACTTTCTTCACATCAGATGGTTTCTCCCTACGGTAGGTGATCTCAGTTGACCTTTAACAGTTCTGTAACTTTTTCATTAAAAACACATTACTAATGAGTTTGACTTCTGTTTTGTAGAACATCAAACTGTCAAGTCTCGATGTCTGCATGCTTTGTTTCTATTTCAAGAACCTAGAGGCATACTTACCTGTAAGTTCTTTAAATATGCAGTTCTAATTATTCATGGATATCTACATTTTACTGAAAATGTTTAGATACTGCATTAAGCATTTTATCCAGTAATAGTAATATAAAGCACTAGTATGTGACTTAATTTTGTATTTTTTGTAAATAATTTTTTTTTTTAGATTTATTTATCTTTTATTACAAAGTCAGATATACAGAGAGGAGAGACAGAGAGGAAGATCTTCAGTCCGATGATTCACTCCCCAAGTGACCGCAACGGCTGGTGCTGTGCCGATCCGAAGCCGGGAACCAGGAACTTCTTTCAGGTCTCCCACGCGGGTGCAGGGTCCCAAAGCTTTGGACTGTCCTCGACTGCTTTCCCAGGCCACAGCTGGATGGGAAGTGGAGCTGCTGGGATTAGAACTGGCGCCCATATGGGATCCTGGTGCATTCAAGGCGAGGACTTTTAGCCGCTAGGCCATGGTGCCGGGCCCAATTTTGTCTTTCAGTTATGAAAATTATTTTTATTATGTCAGTGGTGCTTCTAGTAAGTTTTTTTTAAAAAAGGTTTATTTGAAAGAGCAAGAGGGAGATTGATGAGTTGATCGATCCTATTTGCTAATTGACTTCCCAAATGGCTATGATACCTGGAACTGGATTGGGTGGAAGCCAAGAACTGGAATTTGAATCCAGGTCTCCCACATAGGTGATATGAACTCAATTTCTTGAGCCATCACTATTGTCTCCTGGGGTTTATATTAACAATAAATTGTGGTCAGGAAACAAATCAGGGTGTTGAACCCAGGTACTCTGAAATGGGATCATGGACATTTTAACCACTAGGCTATATGTGCATATCTTTGCTAATAAAATTTGATTGTAGGGCCTGGCATGGTAGCCTAGCAGCTCAAGTCTGTGCCTTGCATGCACTGGGATCCCATATGGGCGCCATTTCTAATCCTGGCAGCCCTGCTTCCCATCTAGCTCCCTGCTTGTGGCCTGGGAAACCAGTTGAGGACGGCCCAAAAACTTGCCCGCGTGGGAGACCCGAAGAGGCTCTGGGCTCCTGGCTTCAGTTCAGCACAGCTCAAGCCATTGTGGCTGCTTGGAGAGTGAACCAGCGGAAGGAAGATCCTTTCTGTGTTTCCTCCTCTTTGTATATCTGCCTTTCCAAGAGAGGTAAATCTTTAAAAAAAAAATACTATACTGTACTTTAGTGTTAGTGAGTTTTATATGATTATTATTGTAGGTCAGGTCATTTTTCATTCAGATTTTATTGATAACCAGATCTGGTGTTGTGAATGACAGCTGATATTTGAGATGCCTGTATTGTGTATTATGCCTCATTCTGTGCTGGATGTTTGAGTCCTGGCTCTGCTCTTCTGGTCAGATTTCTGTGAATGCGTACTTCATGGGAGATGCAGGTGACAGCTCAAGTTGAGAGCCTGTCACTCAGTGGGAGACCCGGAGCCCAGCTCTGTGTGTTGTGGGCACCTGGGGTGTGAGCCAAAGGATCAGAGCTCGTTTTACGTCTCTGCATTTCAAATCAGTTAAAAATTATTTTTGATGACCATGATGCATCATATGGTAAGCAAAATATTAGGGCTTGTGATGGTGATATTAGGGAAAAATTGCTATCTTGAATATTACAAATGTATTAAGTTTCCTCTGTTGAATTTCACTCCTTGGCTAAGTGTGAGTTTTATAGCGGTTGCCTTTCACATGCTTGCATATTTGCTAAAGAAGAGAGTTCACGTGAAGTTAGTAACTGCTTTATATGAAGCGGCAGCATTTCCATTTTCAGGATTGTGTTGTAGGAGGCCTTAGATCTTGCCTTGTCTATTTTTCTTTTCCATTTTCTTTGCCATCATTTGAAAGAAGTGAAAATCTTTCCAGCCTCTCCCCCAACACTTCCTGTGTCAAATGTTGGTAGTTTCTCATGAGCCTCTCTTCAGGTGATAGACTTGACGAAGGTGCTGTTCATATCTGTGCTGTGTACGCAGTTGTTAGTATTAATGGGTAAAATGTCACACTTGGGCAATGTGTAGATCTATAGTTGATTAGTCTGATTGCTAACATGGTTTGCTTTTCTTTTACTCACAGCACAAAAGATTTCAACCAGTGCTCCACCACAAGAGAAGCATGAGAACATGCCAGCTGTATTAAAAATAACTCAGTTTTTACAGTTTTCTTTGATTCAGTGTCGAAAGGAATTCAAAAGTATAAATACTATAAATTTTCATTCTGTTGTTGAGAAGTATGTAAGTGAATTTTTTAAGCGAGGTTTTGGTTCAGGTAAACGACAGTTTATCATGTTTTCGTATGATTCAAAATTAGATAGTAGAAAGTTCTTATTCTCAGCTCCAAAAAATAAAGCCCATATCGATACTTGCTTGCATACTTACATTTATCAACCTGAAATGTATCAGTTACCCATTTGTAAATTAAAAGACTTATTTGAAGAAAATAGGAAACTTCAACAGTTCAGTCCACTTTCAGATTATGAAGGTCAAGAAGAAATGAACGGTACAAGAATGAAATTTAGGAAACGAAATAACTCAAGAGGTGAAACTGTTGTACCTGGGAAGCAAAAGTCATCTCATTCTTTGGATTATGATAAAGATAAAGTCAAAGAACTAATTGATCTGATTCAGTGCACGAAAAAAAATGTGGGTGGGGACTCAGACATAGAAGATAACAGGAGCAAAGCTGTCTTGAAGAGGAAGCATGAAGATCTGCCTGAACACAAGAGGAAACTTTCCAAAACCAGTAATTTATCTGAGAATTACCATCTGTATGAAGGTAAAATATCAAGATTGATTTTAATACAGCCACCAGAAATACAGTAAGATACGTGTTAGCTTTTCTCGTGGTGCAGGAGTTTGCAGATAGAAGTGCGTTGAGCCAAATGTGCAAGGCAGACACGCACTTGATGTGTGTATTCTCACATAGCAACAGCTGGCCTGGGACCAAGGCTGGGCGGCTCACAAAAGGCTGGAGGTACCATGTGACTCAGTTACAGAAAACATTGGCCAGCTCCTGCCCTGATACGTCAGATTCCAAAATTTCTTTGGGTGTAAATTTGACGGAGGGCCCACACAGTCACTGTTCTGTGTTTTCCTTTATGTAACCATAATATGACAGATGTACCAGTAGAGTTCTTTGAGACTGTTGTTGAATGAAAAGAACCTGAGCCTTGAAGTTCATGTCTCAGAGACATACACATAATCTTTATCCTAGGAATCTGGTACTGCCGTTCCTTGTTCTGTTTTACTCAACAAGAAGGCAAAAATGGGAGATGTCAGTTTTAAGTGTTTGCTTGTGTTTTTGAGCGATTTGTATGTCAGTCCATAGGTTCTTTTGCATTCAAGGAGTGTTGCTAGGAGATTTACTCATTTGGAAGTCAGGGAACAAGAGAGAGCACGAGGGAGCAAGTGTGCTTCCATTCACTAGTTCACTCGTGAAATGACTTCAGTAGCCAGGGGTGGCTAGAAGCCTCGCTCGGATCTCCCAGTAGGTCGCAGGACCCCATAATCTTAGGCCGTTCTCTGCTGGTTTCCCAGGCACATTGGCATGGTGCTGGATCAGAAGCCGAGCAGCCAGGCCTTTGATGCTGACATCCCAGGGAGTGACTTAACCTGTTGCGCTCCAGTGCTGGCTCCTGCTGCCGCGATTGATCGATTATGGCCGATCTGAGTGTTTTATTTCTTACTGAAATTTTACTTGCCTTTTCAAATTCATCGTCTCTGACTAGCTTAGATCTATGTCCTTACCACAGTTTTGTTAGAAGAAATCCGTATCCTTGCTGCTGCTTTTCTGCTCTTCACCACACCCAGCTGTGGATTGTTACTTAAATAAAAGATATTTTTCAACAGCCACATGACTGTGTTGGACAGAACAAGTATTGCTTACATGGAAGCAAGTTTTTGTAACAGTGCTGGCTGTTCTCTGCAGTGATTTCTGGATTTTGTTTTCAATGTTACTGTCTTCATCTATGTTCTTTTAGTGACCTTGGTGGCTTACTGAATTTCACACATTTCAGTATTGTGTTAATCTCAGAGTCAGTTTGCTAATGTTCTACCAATTTCATCTTCTGAATTTGGCATTTTAAAGGTTTTGTTACAGACTGTCCAGCTGTGCTTTCCACAATTTTTTTTTGAAGATTTATTTATTTTTATTGGAAAGGCAGATATACAGAGAGGAGGAGAGTCAGAGAAGAGGATCCTCCTTCCGATGGTTCACTCCCCAAGTAGCCACAATGGCCAGAGCTGCACCAATCTGAAGCCAGGAGCCTCTTCCAGGTCTCCCACACGGGTGCAGGGTCTCAAGACTTTGGGCCGTTCTCCACTGCTTTCCTAGGCCACAAGAAGGGAGCTGGATGGGAAGTGGGGCACCCAGTGGGATTAGAACCGGTGCCCATATGGATCCCAGCATGTTCAAGCCTAGGGCTTTAGCCTCTAGACCACCATGCCAGGCCCCACAATTCTTTTACATGCTCTTTAACTAAGGCTCATGTTTCCCTCTAGCATATATTGTGGTCAGTTCCTTTCTTCATTTTTCTCTCAAATTAGATTTTCGTAGGTCATATTCGTCAGCTTTCTGACTGTTGTGTTTCTCAGTGGTCTTGTCTCTTTCCACACATGCTAGAGCTAGATTGAAGTTACTAAATGTTTACTTTGTTTTAGAGTTCTAGCATACTGGAAGGAGACACAAACTAGTGCCCATATGTGATGCTTGCAGAAGGAAGATCAGCCTGTTGAGCCACCATGCCAGTCTCATCACTACTGTCTTTTGTAGCTTTGTATTTATTTATTTCTATTGCCTTTTAAAATTGGTAACCTTAGTTGCTCAGAGTTCGGCCTAGTTCAGTTTTTTCCTGAGCTTTAAGGACCAAGACTTGCCTGAATGCTTACTTCTTATAAGACAAAGCGTATGGATTATACAAGCTATCCAGATTTAAAGCTGCTTGGAGCCATATCTTAATGTGTTTTCTGTTTCAGTTTCTTGGCGTAATGGGAGAGGCAGGTAGATTTTCATTGACTTTTGCTCTCAGATAGTCCTGTGTTTAATATTGTGTAGCAAGCTCAGGGGAGATGTCTCCAATATCCCTATCATGCCAGGTTCTTTATGAATTAAACAAAATAGAATCATTCAAGATAAGAATTAAATTTTAAGAATAACCTTAAGGACAAAATGTAAGTGTGGAAATGACAGAGATCAAATTAAATTATACTGTTTTAGTGAATTAAGTGTAATTTGCAAACATTCCTAAAAATTGGCAGACAGCAAATACAAATCTTTCATTTGTTGGAAGACTTCTGGTTGATGTTGCATTGTGGCAGTACAATTTCCAGTAACTATAGCATGGTTATTAATGTGTGTTATGTGTTTTTACATATTCACAAATTCGTTTGTCTATTAATAAGATGCTCCAGTTGTGCAAAAATTAACTTTAGAAATTTCAGCCTGGGTGCAGAATTTTATATCTTTTGATTGAAAAGCATAGAGAGAAACAGGGATATCCCATCCCTTCCTTGGTTCATTCCCAAGCAGCCACAGCTTGGCGTGGCCAGGGTGACGTCAGAAGCCAGAAACTCAGTCTGATTCTCCCACGTGGGTGTTAGCTGGGACCTAAGTACTCAAGACATCACCTGCCTCCCACCGTATAGGTGAGCCGGAAGCTGGAATGGAGAGCAGAACCAGGACTCAAGCCCAGGCACTTCAGTGTGGCATAGCACTCCAAGTACCTGCACCGTGTGCGGAATTGTCTAACAGGTTACACTTGTGCAGGAAGGGGAGTGTTTATTTGTAAAATGTAAGCCCGCTGCTGGAGTTCCTGTCTGTGCGTGTTACAGTAATTAAGCTCTAAGGTATATCTAGTAACTTTTTATGTTGGCCTTCACATTTAACTCCAAGAGATGACTTTTCTCTGGTTTTTTTTCCTCAGAGTCTTCACAGCCTGTTGGTTCCCTTGGACATGATGCTGACTTGAGACAGCAGCAGCAAGACACCCGGAACTGTGGCACTGACGTCCACAGGCTGTTCACTTGGCTGTCAGAAACATTAGCAAATGCGCGGCACTCGGATGCCTCCTTGACGGACACGGTTAACAAGGCCTTAGGACTGAGCACTGATGTCTCCTATGAAGAGCCGAGGCAGAAGCCGGAGTATGAGGTAAACACTACCCCAGATAAGAAAGAGCACGAGCAGCTTCCATGCCCCAAGATGGAAAACACCCATTTTAAGGGCACTCGGAGTTCTGTGCTGGAAGTTGATACAGCATCTTTAAAGTATCCCCGTGCCGCTGTTTGTTCCAGTGAAGACACGGAGCATAAGCTACGTGTGAAAGAAGTAAGCTTCTGTCTCTTGCTTTTCTTTCTTCTTTCGAATGTGTGTGAAAGAGAGGATGTGGGAGTAGTTTTTCTTTTCCAGAAACAAACAAAACTTGAGTTAAAGATGTCTGCCTGAAAAGGTACTTTTATGTTATACATTTATTACAAAGAGAAAAAAAAAATTAGCCAAGTTTTATCAGTTGGAGTAATGTCAAGGCTGGGCAATTTATTTATTTTTTTTGTCAAGGATTATTGGGAGACTTAGGGTTTGAAAAAGGGGAGGAAATAGCCATTTAAAAGCAGAAATGACAGTAAAGATTGAACAGTGTGGTGGTTGCAAAAACTGGAAACCTTCATATTTCCCAGTGTATTTAATACCCTTAAATTGGGTTTTTAGATGTGAGGGCCAAATCCATCCTGCTGCCTGTTTTTTGTTTGTTTTTGTTTGTTTGTTCTCTTCATGTTTATTAATTTTTATTTGAAAGGGAGATTTACAATGACAGATGAAAACAGAGATCTTTCCATGCACTGGTCCACTGCAACAGGGGCTCAAGCTCAACCAGTCCGAAGTTGGGAGCCCAGAACTACTACTTCTCTGTCTTTCATGTGGGAATAGTGGTCCAAAGGCGTGAGCCATCCTTTGCTCTTTTCCCTGTCATGTCAGCATGGAGCTCGATCACAAATGAGACAGACAGATTTTGCCCGTTATAGATACAAGGTATAGGGACCACAGGAGAAGGCTTAACCAACTATGCGATGGTGCTGGTCCTCGCCTATTTTTATGACCAGAGTTTCATCGGAACACAGCTCTTCCAATTCTTTAGATATTGCCTAGGCCCTGCAATGGCAGAGTGGTACTGACTAAGTGTTTACTGATACTTGCTGTAAATCAACATTACATTATGTTTTCAAGGGCGACATTGCATTTAAATTGATGCTTTTAATGTTACTGTACTGGTTTTACTCATTTGAAATGCTTAAGAGAGAAATGTGTACATTTGCTGTGAAAAAATAATTGTTTCTTCTTGGTGCTGAAATTAATTGGAAATAAAATCATTAAATGGTGTGCTTTAATTTTTAGGATCCTAACTTTATTAACGTGAATAATTTTGAAGATTGCAGTTTGTGTCCCACTGTTTCTTTTGAACATGGATTCTGCAAACACCAATCAAAGTCAAATGATGTTGAAGAGACTGAAATACATTGGAAACTGATCCCAATTACAGGTAAGAATCAGTACACCAGGCCTTAGGCTTACTGTATTTTACTTGGGGAATAGGTTCCTTCAGATTTCATCTTTTCTAGATTCTGTGCATGGATCAGTAGATCTGAGCTGGTTTTAGTATCTTCATTACCTTATTTGCAGTGATAGGATCTTCATCGCTGAATGTTGCTTTTTTTTTTTTTAAAGATTTATTTATTTATTGGAAAGTCAGATATACAGAGAGGAGGAGAGACAGAGAGGAAGATCTTCTGTCCAATGATTCACTTCCCAAGTGAGCGCAACGGCCGATGCTATGCCGATCCAAAGCCAGGATCCAGGAACTTCTGGGTCTCCCGCGCGGGTGCAGGGTCCCAAAGCTTTGGGCCGTCCTCGACTGCTTTCCCAGGCCTCAAGCAGGGAGCTGGATGGGAAGTGGAGTTGCCGGGATTAAAACTGGCGCCCATCTGGGATCCTGGTATATTCAAGGCGAGGAATTTAGCTGCTTGGCCATGCTGCCAGGCCCTGAATGTTGCTTTTTAAAAAAAAAAAATTTTATTAGAAAGTGAGATATAGCAAGAAGGAGAGCCAGGGAGGAAGACCCTCCTTCCAATGGTTCACTCCCCAGGCACCTGCAACAGCTGGAGCTGAACCAATCTGAAGCCAGGAGCCCGGAGCCTCTTCCAGGTCTCCCATACGAGTGCAGGGTCCCAAGGCTTTGGGCCATCCTCATCTGGCTTCCCAGGCCATAGGCAGGGAGCTGGATGGGAAATGGAGCAGCTGGGATTAGAACTGGCACCCATATGGGATCCCGGCGTGTTCAAGGCAAGGACTTTAGCTGCTAAGCTAGCACTCCAGGCCCTGAATGTTGCTGTTATTAGTGTCAGTGAGAATCGGCTTGTGTGGACCTGCTTGTACAGATGCTCAAGATGTACCTATTCTACATATGGAACTTAGCGTTCACGTGGCCAGAAATTTGTTAGAACAGAGTTTCCAATGGAAGGGGAGGTGGCTGCAGAGAAGTGTTGCTGTCTGAACAGCCAGTTAAATATTATCTTTTCAGCTTGATAAATTTCATGGTAATAAGCAATCATCTATTAAGTAGCTATGTCAAAGTCATCTGTTTGAAAGAAATTGAGTTGCTGAATTGGCTTATCTGTAAAGGATCATCTGAGAGCGTGTCCTGAAGTTACAAAATACTACTATCCCAAAAATAGTTGTATAGATGCTGAGAGAGATCATTCTGGGATATTCTCATTTCCTGTGAAAACACATGGACATATGCTCTTAATATTCTAAGTTCTGGGCCTGAAACAGTAGCCTAGTGGCTAAAGTCCTCACCCTGCACACACCAGGATCCCACATGTACGCTGGGATTAATCCTGGCAGCACCACTTCCCATCCAGCTCCCTACTTGTGGCGTGGGAAAGCCATTGAGGATGGCCCAAAGCCTTGGGACCCTGCACCTTCGTGGCAGACCTGAAGGAGGCTCCTGGTTCCTGGCTTCGGATCTGCACAGCTCCTGCTGTTGCAGCCTCTAGGGGAGTGAAGCATCAAATGGAAGATCTACCTCCCTGTCTCTCCTTCTCTTTGTATATCTGACTTTGCAATTAAAAAAAAAATTCTAAGTTGTTAAGCATCTTTGTTTATCAGCTAACCATTTTTGGGGATATTTCTAGAACAAATCCTTGGCATTTCTAGATATTTTTCTAATTTTTGAAAAGGAAAGATACTCTGCTGTTATTCTTGTTGAGAAGTAGACTGAGGCTACCAAAGACCGAGAAGAATTTCTAAGCTTTCATGAGTTTCCGCGGGATTTGAGCAGGAGACCCCGAGGGAGCAGGTGCTTTCTGAGAATCTGCCTTCAGCGGAACAGGGTAGGGAAGTGCTGCTGAGAAGGCTCGTCTCCCTTCCTCGTCCAGACGCCTTCCTAGTTGGCTTTGAAGAGATATCTAGTGTATGATGCTCCATCTTCACCTGCGTTAGAGAAGCCAGCTTTGCACTTTTTAATTTTTATTGGAAAGTCAAATTTACAGAGAAGGAGAGACAGAAAGATAGATCTTCCGTCCATTGATTCATTCTCGAAAAGGCTGCAATGGCCAGAGCTGCGCCAATGCAAAGCCAGGAGCAAGGAGCCTTTTCCAGGTCTCCCACGTGGGTATGGGGTCCCAAGGCTTTGGGCCGTCCTCGACGGCTTTCCCAGGCCACAGGCCAGGAGCTGGATGGGAAGTGGAGCAGCCAGCATATAAAGCGGCGCTCATGGTATCCTGGCACTAGCTGCCTGACGGACCCCAGCATTTCAATTTGGAATGACCTTTTTGAATTACTCCAGGGAAGAGGAGGGATGTTTGCATTTGTTAGCATTTGAGGTTGCTTAATATCTGTCACTGCTGTCTGGGGAGAATCTACAAATCTAATGGTACTTTCCCTCAGGAGGGGACGCAAGAAGCCCTGAAGACCAGCTAGGGAAGCAGTGTGAGAAACCAGCATCAGGTGAGAAGGCTCCCTTTGCTCATCTCCCAATGCGCGTTGCAAAACTACTACTGGAATTTCTTTTTCTTTCTTTTCTTTTCTTTTTTTTTTTATATGAGGCTAATATTTTTTGAATATTTCTTTTTATTGATGAAAATCATATTTACAGAGAGAAGGAGAGACAAAGAGAAAGATCTTCCATGCATTGGTTACTTCCCAAGTGGCCGCAATGGCCAGAGCCAACCTGAAGCCAGGTTTCTTGGTTTCCCACCAGGTGCTGAGTCCCAAGGCTTTGGGCCAGCCTCTGCTGCTTTCCCCTGTGCATTAGCAGGGACCTGGATGGGAAGTGGAACAGCCGAGACAAGGACCAGCGCCCATATGGGATCCTGGTGCATGCAAGGCGAGGAGTTGTACTGATAAGCTACTGTACTGGGCCCCTACTTGAATTTTGTTGTTCTGTATCAATAGGGCATTGACTTAATTTGTGTTAATTTCACAGAATTTACTTATTTATTTTTAATTTCACAGAATTTTGAAAATACCATTTTTATATTGAAATCTTGTATCAAATATTCTTACCACAGGAGTCATGAGGTGTTCATAAAGATTAAGTGTTCTTTACCGATAGCAGACTATCAGCAGAGATGATTTGAAAACCTAGAAAGATTATACTGATGCTTTTTGCAGGCTGTCCTAGCAGAAATAGTCTTCAACTTTTTTTTTGTTTTAAAATTTATTTGCTTTTATTGAAAAGTCAGATATACAGAGAGGAGGAGAGACAAAGAGGAAGATCTTCCGTCTGATGATTCACTCCCCTAGCGGCTGCAATGGCCGCTACTACGCTGATCTGAAGCCAGGAGCCAGGAACTTCCTCCAGGTTTCCCTTGTGGGTGCAGCGTCCCAAGGCTTTGGGCTGTCCTCCACTGCTTTCCCAGGCCACAAGCAGGGAGCTGGATGGGAAGCAGAATTGTTTAATAAGTCAGACATTTGGCATGACACATGACTCAAGATTGTAAACGTACTGTGGAAGCTCAGCTGTCTGCCCCTGTACTGCAGATGTTCAGTTGCACCCTCACCCTAGAGATGGCAGTTACCAATCCACCGGAATCTAACACTGTTGTATTGGACCTAACCCCATTTTATAAAAGCATTATTTGTTTATGGGACATAGTTTTCATTTGCTGGTTCAGTCTTCAAATGGACCTGGGAGCCAGGATCCTAATCCAGGTTCCCACATGGCTGGCAGGGATTCAGTGCCTCAGGCGTCACCTGCTGCCTCCCAGGGCGTGCCTTGTCAGGAAGCTGGAATAGGAAACAAAGCCCAGGCGGCCACCCAGGAACTTCAGTCTGGGATGTAGGCATTCTTAAGAGGTATTGTGCCACATGGGTTAAAATCCCAACTTCCCAATTTGGTGTCAACCACTAGGCCAAGATGTCCACTCCTAAATTTCATGTTAGTCTTGCTGGCTTAAAACAGGCATTCAGGGTATTATGTGCCTCTGTCCTTGTACGGAGCCCAGAATTTTGGGGTTGTCATTTGTCATTGCTTTCTCCTTGCTCACTTCCCCTCACCAACTTAACTATGGCCTTTTAAATGTACTCACAAGCTCCTTGGCAGCAGTTAGTTAATGCAGTAACTGCTGTGATTGGAAGATAATGTCCTAGGCTAACTGCTGCTAGGCAGTTTATAACTGCACAAATGTGAGTGTGGGGAAGCCAAACTGGGTATCACATAGAGAGGGCAAGTACATGTACTCAGAACGAGTAGAGAGTCCACCATACTGTTCCCAGACTTTTGCTTTGCAAGCACCGCTTTCTCCGCTGTAGCAGCAGCTTGTTCAGTGAGTTAGTGATTTGAATCTCTGTTGGGGAAAAAACAGATGAAAGGTCATTGCAGGGTGGGTGAGTATTAGGCACAGCAATGAAGTGATTCTTTGGGATGCCTACATTGTAGCTCAAGGTGCTTGGTTTGCATCCCAGTTCATTTTACTGTTAATGCGCACCGTGGTAGGCAGCATCCGAGGTCCTCGCCAACCACATGGGACACTCAGATACGTATCTGGCCTCCTAACTTCATCTTGGCCTAGCGCTCACTGTCATGGGCATTTGGTGCATTCGCCACAGCTGGAAGATATCTGCATCTGTCTGCTTGTCAAATAACAGTGAATTTAAGAAACATTTTTAAAAATTCAGTTACTCTCACCTATGGAACTCTGAACACCAATCCGAGAGCAGGGCACTTTTAGAAGTAGAAATTGGGCCCAGCAAGGTGGCCTAGGGGCTTAAGTCCTCACCTTGAATGCACTAGGATACTGTATGGGTGCCGGTTCTGATCCTGGCAGCCCCACTTCCCATCCAGCTCCCTGCTTGTGACCTGGGAAAGCAGTTGAGGACGGCCCAGTAGCTTGGAAATCTGCACCTGTGTGGGAGACCTGGAGGAGGCTCCTGGCCTCAGATTGGCTCAGCTCCAGCCATTGCGGCCACCCGGGGAGTGAACCATCGGACAGAAGATCTTCCTCTCTGTATATCTGATTTTGCAATAAAAATACCAAATAGCAGTTGAGATTTATCTTCCTTGTGTAATTTGTTGTAAGTACATTTTTTATCAGACTTTTGAGTGGTTTAAGGGTGTGTGTTTTTAGATGGTATCTTTTTGTATTGTTCTTACTCTGTTGAACTCTCCTTGCGTAGGTATGAAATCACCAGAACAACCAGCGCAGGAGACCTTTCCTGATGACCCTCGGGTAGTAAGCAGACAGAGAAGTTCTGATGACCAGTTTTCATCCTCTGCATTCACAGACACGCGTAAGAGTACCACTGAGGATGACCCCCTGACAGGGCAGGTGCCGCCCATGGAGGAGCAGTGTGTGCCAGCAGCAGAGCTGCCTAATGTGAGCGAACCCACAGAAAGAACAGTGTTAGGAGAGTACAGTGTCTTTTCTAGGAAGATAGAAGAGATTTTGAAGCAAAAGAACGTTTCGTATGTTAGTAAAGGTTCCACACCAATGTTTTCAACGCAAGAGAAGATGAAACGGCTTTCTGAGTTCATATATTCTAAGACTTCCAAAGCCGGTGTGCAGGAGTTTGTAGATGGCTTGCATGAGAAGCTAAATACTGTTATTATTAAAGCATCAGGCAAAGGAGGGAGTCGGCCACCAGTCAGTCCTCATGATTCTGGTGCTAAGGTCGCACTGACTCCTCTGGGAAGGCCTGGCGTACCAGGACCCTCGGGTGACTGCCACAGCACACAGCCTCTCGACCCACTTCCTAGTGACGCCTCGAAAGACACCAGCTCTGGTGAGCAGCATTCCTCTTTGACTTTGGGTCAGCCTGAAGCACAAGTGAACCAGCCACTCCACGCCACAGAATCAGCGGTGACTTCTGACCATAATGTACTTGGTGATCCTGCCCAGGAACCAGTAGAAAAAGAAACCGTAAAGTCTCCTGATGATGTTAACATTTCTGCCCAACCATCTCTTTCAAATTTTATAAGCCAGTTAGAACCTGAAGTATTTAATAGTTTGGTTAAGATCATGAAAGATGTCCAGAAAAATACTGTGAAATTTTATATTCATCAAGAAGAAAACAGTGTGCTCTGTAAAGAAATAAAGGTAATTGAGAATGTTATAACAGTGCACTATAATCTTGTTGGTCTGGCCTGCATAAAGTTTTGTTTTCTGATACTGATAATGTATTTTCATAATTCAGTCTTAGAGAATAGAAGTCTAGTCAAATTAGAACCTGTGATATAGATATTTCAGCCCACTAAGTCCCAAGTTTAATTTGTGAATATTTCAACAACAATATTTATTTCAAAGTTACTGTAAGAGGCTTTGTGTTACGTATATAGATACCCGTGTGTAGGATGAGACATTTATGTACATACTACAAATTAGTTTAAACTGTTGAACACAGGTTTTATTCATTTTTGTAAGATTTATTTTTATTGGAAAGGCAGATACAGAGAAGGAGATACAGAAAAAAAGATCTTCCGTCGCTGGTTTGCTTCCCTAGCTCATGCAGTGGCTTGAGCTGAGCCGATCTGAAGCCAGGAGCCAGGAGCGGCTTCTGGGTCTCCCATGCGGTTGCAGGGTCCCAAGGCTTTGGACTGTCCTCCACTGCTTTTCCCAGGCCACAAGCAGGGAGCTGGATAGGAAGTGGAGCAGCCAGGATTAGAACTAGCATCCATATGGGATTCCAGCATGTGCAAGGCGAGGACTTCAGCCATTAGGCTATCGCATTGGACCTGATTATAATTTTTAAATTTTACCTCCCCCCAATTTGCCCTGTGACCTAACTTGTGGCAGAGACCCAGGTATTCAGCTAAACTACCAGGGAGTGAATCGGCAAGAAGCTGGGTGGAATGTAGAGCTGGGACTCAGCCAAGTACTTCAATTGAAAAGCAGGTGTCAGGCCCGGCGCGGTGGTGTAAGTGGTTAAAGATCCTCGCCTTGCACGCCTGGGATCCCATATGGGCACCGGTTCTAATCCCGGCAGCCCCGCTTCCCTTCCAGCTCCCTGCCTGTGGCCCGGGAAAGCAGGCGAGGACGGCCCAAAGCTTTGGGACCCTGCACCCGCGTGGGAGACCCGGAAGAGGCTCCTGGCTTCGGATCGGCATAGCATTGACCGTTGCGCTCACTTGGGGAGTGAATCATCGGACGGAAGATCTTGCTCTCTGTCTCTCCTCCTCTCTGTATATCTGCCTTTCCAATAGATAAATAATAAATCTTTAAAAAAAAAAAAAAAAGGTGTCCTGAGCAGTCGCCTACCTGCTGTCCCAAACTACACCCCCTCCCTGTCCTCACCCCATAGTGGGAAAGGAAAAAAAAGCAGAGGAATAAATTAAGTTGCTAGTATTTATCTTAGAAGAAATTTTGTCAAATAGAAGTGGTTCACAGATAATCTAATCGTACCCTTGACATTTCTTGATACCTAAATTCCTTGATACCTAAATTCCTTGATACCTAATTCCTAAAGCCTTTATTGATCAATAATCTGTAGTGTTTCCAATCATGAAAAATTCTCTTGCTGTAAAGATGTAATTTTTAAAAAAAGAGTTGTTTGTTTCCTTCAAAGGCAGAATTACAGAGAGGAATGCACAGGTTTCCATCCGCTAGTCTGTTCCTCAGATCGCTGCAATAGCCAGAGCTGGGCTGGTCGCGAGCCAGGAGCTTCCGGGTTCCAACATGGGTGTAGGAGCCCAGGCACTCGGACCATCCTCCGCTGTCTTCCCAGGCGTATGGGCATGGGCTGGATCAGAAGAGGAGAGCCAGGACTTGAACCAGTCACCACATGGGATGCCAGTGGGACCCACTGTGTACAGTGTATGGGACAAGATGTATTTTAAAAATTGAAGCCATACACTGATATATTAGGTATTTGTTCTGTGAAACAAATATGCTTGTGTGTGCTTATAAATGTGTAAATTTAAAAAAGCTTATAAATGATAATATTCCAGCAATTTTATTAGCGATTTAATAGTAGTGGTCATTAAACTGCTGGACTTTAGTTTCTTAAAGGAATGCCTAATTGTGAAGTAAATACCTGCTCTCATTTACAGAATTTACTGACAGTGACTCAGTTTCTGCCTGTTACTGTTTGATGAAGCAGGCCCCTCGTGACGTTGCACCGTGAGCCGAGGGCGGCCCAGAGCCGCGGGCTCCCGGACATGCTCTTAAGGCTTCTCGATATGGGCGTGTTTAATGTGATGTGTCCGTGAAGAGCAGGAAAATGAAAGAATATGAGGACTCTGTTTTTTTTCTCCGTGATTGCTTACTGGTTTCTGTGGTTGCATGTTTGTGCTGTGTGACCGACTGTAGAGCCTCTCCCGTTGCGCTGCAGTCCCAGTGACGCGTCCCCATGCACCTGCCTGTCAGTGCATAGCTGCCTGTGGCGTGTGCTAGGTGGGAGTAAGTGGGGCAGATTGCCCAGGCTACTCACCTTCCTGTCTGGGTTTTTTTTTTTTTTCTTAGCAAATTTATGTCACAATCATATTAAGGGAACAGTAAATGTATTTTATTTTTATTGGAAAGTCAGATATACAGAGAGGAAGATCCTCCATCTGATGATTCACTCCCCAGGCAGCTGCTATGGCTGGAGCTAAGTCAATCTGAAGCCAGGAGCCCGGTACCTCCTCCGAGTCTCCCACACGGGTACAGGGTTCCAAGGCTTTGCGCCGTCCTCGACGGCTTTCCCAGGCCACAAGCAGGGAGCTGGATGGGAAGCGGGGCTGCCGGGATTAGAACCAGTCCATGTAAGGGGAGGACTTTAGCCACTAGGCTACCACGCTGGATCCTGTTAACCTACTTTTGTGTTGGCTAGACTGTTTATTTTCTTACATATCTGATAGGAAATTGGTTTTAAACATGGGACTATAAATAAAAGCATGAACTTTCTAAGTATTTCTGAAGAGAAATTGATGTATTAGGTGAGGTGGTTATTTAAAAGTTGCATTTAAAGCTGCTTAATACAGCAAGCTTGTTAGTAACTGAACATTTTGATTAATTCTGAGTCAGGCGCAGAAATTCCAGAGCTTAGAGTGTCAGTGTGGAAGATCTTGAGTGCCTTTTCTCCAGGCCTCACAGCACTGCCTTGGCTGTGGCATACCAGGTGGCCCTGGGAGGTATTGTAGGCTGTGGCCAGGCAAGCTAAGTTTTGATTAATGCTGATGACTTTCATTGAGCCTGAAAAATAATCTGTGAAATGAGTGTGACTTTTTGCTTCAGGGTTCTGAATTCTGTTGACAAGCAAAGGCAGCTGGGGTAACTATTACCATGCCAGCACAAAAGGAACTATTAAGATGCAAGAACCTACTTAGCATAGAGTTGTAAACTTGGCAGAAAAATGGCTAGTGTGCAAATACCATTGTGCGTAGTTAAGTTGTGTATGATTGCTTCTTTGAGATATTGTGCGTTAAATGAGCTCACAGTGGTTTTCCAGTGCTTTGTAACTCTGGCTAAGCATCGCAGTGATCTGCCCCAGGTAGCCAAGGACACACTTCAGAAGGAGAGTCTGGGTAATGACTGCGCTTTGGCTTTCCCATAGGGACTCCTGTACGAAACCATCGTCACGGTTTTATCCTGGCATGGAGTTGGTATTCAACGCTGTGCTTTTGTAACTGGTTTCTAGACAATTCTTCTGTAAGAGTAGGTGTGTTGATCCCCAGTCTTCTAGAATGCTGAGTTCATTGTGAACAATGTCGTAGAAGCAGTTTAGCCTGTATTTCTGGGGTTAGATTCATGCTTGCCAAGAAAATTTTTTTGTGCTGATTTAGCTATTTTTGTTCAACAGGAATATCTTACCAAATTAGGCAACACTGAATGTCATCCGGAACAGTTTTTGGAAAAAAGATCACAGTTAGATAAACTGTTGATTATTATTCAAAATGAAGATATCGCAGACTTCATTCATAAGGTGAGTCTTAAAAGTCACATTTTGGCTCTTTAAAATGCTTAAGATAAGCTTAAAGAGGATAAAGTGGCAGGAAGCTTTGCATGAATCAGCTATGTTGGCTAAATTTATTTTTATTTTTTAAGATTTTATTTATTGGAAAGTCAGATATACAGAGAGGAAGATCTTCCATCCTATGATTCACTCCCCAAGTGAACGCAACGGCCGATGCTATGCCGATCCAAAGCCAGAATCTAGGAACTTCTTCTGGGTCTCCCACACGGGTGCAGGGTCCCTGCTTGTGGCCTGGGAAGGCAGTTGCGGACAGCCCAAAGCCTTGGGTCCCTGCACCCACGTGGGAGACCTTGAAGCAGCTCCTGGCTCCTGGCTTCAGATTGGCTCAGCCCTTGGCATTGTAGCCACTTGGGGAATGAACCACTGGATGGAAGGTCTTTCTGTCTATTCTTCTCTCTAAATCTGCCTTTCCGGTGAAAATCTTTTAAAAACAAATTGTCCATTTTGTATTTTAATGTCTGTTGAAGGGTCCTTTTATTGTGTGTGGAAGGTGCCAATGAATGGATGTTGTCTGTGTTGTGGGAAATGTTGGGAATGTTTTTGTGTTTGGCTTTCCAGATGTAATGGCCAAACATAAATGAGCCATGTTTGTTTAGTTAGGCTTTTTTTGTTTTTTTTTTTTTTTTTTTTTTGTCGTTCCCACAGGTACCTGGCCTGGTGACTTTAAAGAAGCTGCCCTGTGTTAGTTTTGCTGGTGTTGACAGCCTAGACGATGTAAAGAATCACACGTACAATGAACTATTTGTATCTGGAGGTTTTATTGTGTCTGATGACTCAATTCTAAATCCAGAAGCTGTCACAATTGGTAAGGTTTATGCATTGTTGGGAACATATAACTTCCATTCTGCACTCCCACCCCAGGTTTTTAGGAAAAAGCTAGAAAAATGTCAGTAACTCACTTATTTGGATGTATTATCCTGGTTTTTTTTCTGCGACTTGTAGGTAACAGTTCATTCCCATCTTCTCCTGAGTTTTTATTAATCTTACATTTCTTTCCCATTTCTTACATTGTACAAATAATTCCCACGGAGTCTCTGCCTGCTACACGTTGGGCATTTCATTGTTTCAAAATGCTTGCTTGTTTCTTTCCATCAACTTGAAAGGCAAAAAGATAGAGATCGCAATTGCTTGTAAGAGTCTAGTATTGGGCTAAGCGCAAGCCCAGAATCCAGAGCTTCATCTGGGCCTACCGTGTGGGTATCAAAGGCCCAAGCATTTGAGCTCTGATCTGCTTCAAAGGTGCTAGCCCGGAGCTGGACATCAAGTGGAACAGGTGGGATGTGATTCTCACTGTCGTGGGACGCAGGTGTCTCCAGCAGTGGTTTAACTAGCTGCCGCACAGCGCCCGCTCCTCAAATGTGCTGTGATGTGTACTCTGTCCTTCAGGAGAAGGAAGTAGTATACGGCAGTCTGTGTTTATACTGAGTATGGGAAAAATGTGCTCCCTCCATTTTCAAGAGTGCCTGGGTTTACTGTGTTAAAATGAACTTTTTTGTCTAACAGAGAGCCTTAAGAATTTCCTGACATTCCTTGAAGAACTTAGTACTCCAGAAGGAAAATGGCAATGGAAAATCCACTGTAAATTTCAGAAAAAACTAAAGGAACTGGGCAGGTAAAATTTGGAAAAGAGGTATATCATGATTATTTATTTCAAGTTTTGCTATGGAAAAATTTTTCTCCATATCCGACAGATCTTGTTCAGTTCTCATCTAGGCCTATAAATACTGTGCAGCTGTCTAGATACTGACGTATTCTAGCCTTTTGAGGAGGAAAGTGGTTTTCTTGCTTAAGTGGAAGCTTGCTGATGTTCTGATTCAATATGCTGTTTGAATGAATTAATCTTTGAAAGGCAGTTTTGTCTCCCCCTTTCACTGGCTTGCTTCCCAAATGGCCAGCGTCGCCAGGGTGGGAGTCCAAGACTCCAGCACGAATGCAGGGTTACCACCTGCCAGGTGCCTCCCAGGGCGCGCCGCAGGAGAGCGGAGGGACAGTGGAGCTGGGATTAGAACTCAGGGACTTCGAGGTACAAGTGTTAGGGCCAGATTTGCTGTGACACAGACAGCCACTGTGACAGTGACTGATAGCTGTTGACAGCCGCCATAACAGCTGCTGCTGTTCAGGTCCCCACTTCCCCAAATGAGTCACTGGGAGTCTGGCACCGATGCACGCTCACAAGGGCAGTTCTTTCAAGCCTGAGCTCAGGTCTCAAGTGTCAGTGTCGCAGCAGCTCCAGGTTGAGACCCTGAGACTGGGTGGCATGGGCTACTTATCACAGTCTAGGGGATTTCACATGGTTACACTCATGGTTGGTTAACTTAAAACTATACACAGTTGTACTCATGATTTCCTAATCATTCAAAAAAATGCAAGTTGGCAGGTTTCTGTTAGTGAAGCAGACAAGTTTCAAATAGCGCGAAGTGGCGGGCTGTGGAGCCAAAGCCTTCTCTCTCTGAGGCTCACTAGGGGACCTTGCCACATTTGCTAGAAACCCATTTCCCAGAAACAAAACTTGTGCAACTTCAGATTAGGCTAAGGCGTGAGTCATCTAGGCAACTTCAGATTAGGCCGAAGCTGATCGTTGGAATTCTGAGGGCCCTCATAAGTTCTCAGAGGCTTAATGTGGTGTGGGGCAAGCACTGTAGTACAGACCCAAAGGTGAGTCTGGAGTTCCTGGTGCTTTTAGAATAACCACTGTTGGTTTATACCTTGACATAAAGTAAGTAGCTGAGAGCCATGCATTGTTTTTTAAAGATTCTGTGTGTGTGTGTGTGTGTGTGTGTGTGTGTGTGTGTGTGTGTGTGTGTGTGTGTGTGTGTGTGTGCGCGCAAAATCCTAGGTCCCTCACTGAAATTTGAGCAGTAGTAAAGGTAGTAATTATAACTGGTTGAAATTTTAGCCTGCTGTGAAACTGGCCTGTCAGGCAGTGTACCAAGAAACTTCTGGACTTGTAAGTGGATCTCAGAATTCCTGCTCTCCATGACAGCACTGCTGCATCAAGCTGAGAAACTGTGGTTTTAATGTAAAGCCAAAACTTCCATACTAATAAGTATGCATCCAGATACTAAACTGCTTAATTTCACAGATTGAATACTAAAGCTCTGAGTCTGCTGACGCTTCTGAATGTCTATCAGAAGAGACATCTGGTTGAAATTTTGTCCTACCATAATTGTGATTCACAAACTCGAAATGCTCCAGAACTGGACTGCCTTATCAGACTTCAGGCTCAAAACATCCAGCAGCGACACGTCATCTTTTTAACAGGTGAAGAGACCACTTAGAACTTTCCAGTTACGTATGGGAATGTGGTATAAGGACCTCTGTAGTACTGTGGTGGATGTTGAAAATGAGGAAGGACTTTGAGGGCTCAACGGGCATCACTTGTCGATGCTGCTTTTAACAGTTCTGTATGTGAAACTCTTTTCCTTAGATAAGCACATCAAGATGCCTTCAAGTTACACAGATAATGGAATAGTGGTTGCATCTACTGAAGTGTTTATGCAAAACTTTAAAAATCTTGTGGGCTATCATAACTCAGTCACAGAAGAAAACTTCCCACTGCTTGGTGCTAATGAAAACCTTGAGTCACAGTCAGGTAACTTTTCATCAGTTTTCATTTTCTTTCAGGCAGACAGGAAAAGAGGAATGACTTTGCTGGGATTGTAGTCAGCTGAAACAACTCACCTCTAAGTAATCTCAGGGGGAGCGTTTCAAGACGTGTATCTGTAACACACAGCATGAACAAAATCTCATTTAACGGTTGTGGCCAGCATGAGTTCTTGAGTTTTATCATAGCCTTGCCTGTGATGGCTTATGCAGTCGTCTCTGAGGGTATATAAACTGTACTTAGACTGCTGTTGTCAGGAAAGGGGATGGATTAGGAAAACAGATCCGGGAATTTAGTATTGGGCCACAAAATCTCCCCAGAGGTAAGAGGCAATTTAATTACAAGATAGTAGGAATTCTCACAGCTTTAGTCTTTTGTGAGATGGCCTCTGCTTTGATTTCAGTTCTGTGAAAAGCGAAAGATATATTTTTGTTCTTAATGAAAAGCAGAGATGATGAAGCATTTGATTGAGCTAGCCAGTGTAGTAATCCAGTGAAGCTAGATGTCAAAAATTTTATTTTGTATTTGTCTTGTCAAATACTGAATTACCGTATAACTTTAGATGCTGTTTTGACATTAACCCCTTTGGAGCTTGGAGTTGGGATTTCCCAACATTAAACGTGAACACATTTCGCAGAAGCTTTTAGCATCGGATTATCTGGACATTCACACCTAGTGTGAGTGTTGTGAATAAATGAACTTGTGGCAGAAGACCAAGCTTTAAGGGATTGTGGACTTGCAGACCCTGACGCATTATATTGTGTGAGTAATGTATAATTTTAAAACTTAAACAAATTGTGTATTTCAATAGAGGAGGACTTTTTGTTTTTTAAATGTAGCTCTTTTAGAAAACGATGAAAAGGATGAAGAGGATATGTCTCTGGATTCAGGGGATGAAATCTCACAAATAGAAGTATGCAGCAATTTTCATTCAGAAATATTGACAGAAGAAACCAAAGGATCATGTGGAACAAATCAAAAACAGAACTTTCAAGCTGAATTGCAGTTGTCTCTTGACATGCAAAAGAGGTCACCAGAAGATAAGCCCTGTCACACTGACTCTGAAGATGCAGCGTCTGTTGATATGGCATGCTCAGAAGACGGGGACGGGGACTCAGCAGGGCAGGACTCATCCAGCAACGTTCAGGTCTATGACAGTCAATTCAGTATGTGCCATCAGGTTAGCCATTTTAATGTTGTCACTCATCAAACATTTCTGGGCATACCGTATGTCCTTTCGTCAACCCAGTCTCCAGAAACTGATCACTCTTTATCTGCTTATGCTCAAAGCGTGGAGGGAGACAAAGCTGAGTCTCCACTGAGCTGGGGGAAAAATGATTTTTCCCAGCCGTACTCAAAAGAGAAATAATTATAGTAACTTTTTTTATATATACAAAGTAGGTTGTTTTGGATTTTTTTCTGTTTCTTAAAGGTGATTAACAATTTATATTTCATTCTCAACACATTTCCTGTCCTTTTTCAATTTTTTTGGTCTTATTTAAATCATGAATGCCCTGTAACAGTTGTGAAAATTTAAATAAATCTATTTTTTAAAGTTTACTGTACTTGAATTATCTCATGTTGGCACTTTTAAGTTTTACATTTGTATGTCATGAATATTTGGGCTTCAAATTGAAGCATATTTTGTATGTAAAATTAGATGTCCTTTAGGATGGTAAACAGGAGTGGCTTTACTTTTCATGTCAAATGATAAAAAGTATGTTTTTGCTGAAATGATCAACTATTTTGATTTGAGCTTTTGTACAGTGCTTTTATACAGTTGTAAGGCAGTGACAGACGATTTTGACTGATACCTCAACAAGATGTATCTGGCAATGTAGTTTCATTTAGATGATTAACTTTGGGCTTAAGCTAACTTTCTCAGATTTTGTTACTTAGAGAAATGCAAGTATTTCTGAAGTAGTCTTGATTTCAAACCTGTTGTCTGTTGCTAACAACTGCCTCTGTTACGCCTCCCAAGAGTTTTGCAGACTGCAGTAAGTCACAGTGCTGAGCATACAAAGCCTGCGCTAAATCTGGGTTGTGTTAATGAGCTGGTACACCTTAGGCAAATCCAAGCTAGAGTGCAGAGTGGTCAGGAATTCCCAACTAAGGTAAGTGGTTTGGCAACATTTTAGGATCTGAATGCCCAGATTATGATAGAAGAAAAACTAGGTTTTTAGTACCTTTTATGAAGTGTCTGTTTTATTGTTTTATACAAAAAGACATTTTGCTACATAATGTACAAATTTTTAACAGCTTAGAGTTTTCAAATGTTTATCTGAGAAGTACAGTTAAGCACTGAGCATATTTTCTAAATCCAAGACATTAGTTTTCTATATTTAAACTGAAGAATTAAAATTCTTCTGGATTTGAAGCTGAAGGCAGGAGATTACTTTCCAACTCCTTTTGTTTTTGCAGAAGGCCCTGAAATCGAGGCATACAGGCAACTTAACAACTTCATCTCTTTCATTTCCATTAGTTTTTCAGAAAACATTTATGCATTAACACCTCAGGATAGAATCAGGTTACTTGGCCATAGCTTATGGTTTATCAGTCTAGTTATTGTTATAATAATGGCAAAATCTTTCTTCTTCCCCAAAGTGCGCTAAAGATGGTATGGCATCTAGTGCTTGTCCTAAACAGAGTAATCTTAGTGGATACCAGGACTCACTAAACCAGGAGTCATTGAACACTAAACCCTTAGCAATGCCGGGGGTTTCTCCTGGGGCTTACAGCCGCATGCGAGCCTATGATACAGTGCACAAAGTCACTGGTGCTAATTGGTTAAAAAGTAAGATACCTTTTACCTTGTCCAAATATAAAAACTGGGCAATAGTCAGTACCAGTTATAGAACCAATTTTCTACAACCATTTCCAAAAAGAGCTCAGAATAAATACATTCAGAGAAGTCAGACCCAGTTTCATTTGCATTGGTTTAATGAGAAGTCAGTATAATTGGTCTGGGAGAAACAATGCTGTGGTAAGTTTACCAGTGTAATTTTGTGCTGAATTATGTTCTTTGGGATAACGTTCTAAACACTGCCAACACGTATGTAAGAAGTATGGGGTTGCACTGTTAAGATTACTAAAGCTTAACTGTGTGTTTGTCTTTAGGGCCTTATTTGTCTTACAGTTAATGTATCCATTTTTTATTCAATAAAAGTCACTCAGATTACAATAGTCTCATGATTTTATACTGGGGAAAAATAACAATTACAGATGGTAGTGAAATTCAAGGGAAGCCCTAATTTCATTTCCATTGAAAATTTTTTTTACCTTCAAGATTGGGCTGCAGAGAGGGCATAGGAATCAACTACACCTTTATACCAGCTCAGTTCCCTTAACCCCACAGCAGAATCACATTAGCCTTACCTGTCTTAGTTCTGAAAGTCCCTTAAGGATTGCTTGTTGTCGATCTCTGTGTTTTACCAAGTTAGGATTGAGAAGTGGATCTCTAACGTCACAGTCAAATAGCTGCTGCTGATCTTGATCAGAGCCTGGAGCCAGAACAAATTCACACATCAAAAAGGATTCATTTAATTGTATCCTAGGAAAGCATCCTCAAATCTTTCTAATATACTGTGAAATTCTTTCCACCTCTCTTGGGTAAGATGTCAACAATACGTACGTACTTTTTGCACTTTCGTACTGAAGGTCCTGAGTTGAGGGCCTAGACAGTGGTGCATCTGGATCAAGGTAATAGACTTCATTTGTTCGAACATAAGGAATAAAATGGGATGGCTCAGAAACTCGAGATGAGGCTCCTGTTTGACTTCCTGAGATGACATTCTCTCTCTCATAGCTGCTGCTGCTCGCTAAGTGCAAGGTGCCAGTCTGAGTGTGCTGGGATCCGTCTCTCACTGCTGGAACTGGTGATGGCACAGATCTGTTCATGACAAAAGAAGCAGTTACAGGCTCCAAAATATAGGATACAAAATTATGTATTTTATGGAAGTCTGAGTTCTGTCCTAATTTTTCATGAAACTGGGAATGCAACAGAATGGGATAATTTGAGCTTTTACTGCTTGGAGTTATTGCAGCTTCATTTCTGTAAAGTAACCACAAAATGGTGTACACTCACCCTCTGACCCACCCTTCCCTTTAAGAGACAACTCTCAAACCAAACGGTCTGTGCACAGTGGCAATAAGAATATTCAAGGTTTCAGGGTGTGCAGTTGGTCTGACAAAGATGCATGCTGTGTTGGATTATGTTGGCTGGAGTCCCCACGATGCTCAGTCACAAATTGTTTCCTGGTAATGCACACACTGGAGGCAGCAAGGAAGGGTTCTAGTGCTTGGGTTTCCCTGCCACCCACGATTCCCAGTCTGACCTGGCTCTTAGGGCATCTGGGATTAGCAGATGAATGTGCTCTCTGCTGTTTGCTATAACAACTATAGCCACCTTGCCTAGCTAGCCCCAGTTCAGTCCAACTTGGGCCTTCAACTCCAGCTAAAATGAAAACCTTTTTGTTTCTTCCTATGCATTTGCATCTTACCCAGATTTTGAGTAAATGCTTTCTACCACACAGGAAACATGGAATTAATGTATATATAACAAACCTTTCTTTGATGAACGCATCCATATTCAGAGGCTCTGCTTCCTACAAGATGGAGAAAATGTACAAATAAATATACAGAGCATTTCCACAAATTCTAGGGTTTAGTCGTAGAATTACTAGGATCTGATGCCAGGGACACCAATCGTGTAGTTTTCTGGAGTATAATAAGCATTTTTGCTCTGGAAGCAGTGTGATTCTCTGGTGTAACTCCTGAGCCAGCTCTGCCACAGTGTAGACGGCCATGGACAATCTGACCTGTCTCTGCACAGGCGCGCATCACTGCTGCACTACCAGGACACTCACCTTTCTGCCTAGATGCCGCCTGCTCCTCGGCTGTCTCTCTCGATGAAGTTCATGAGCTGGGGAGCCGCCCTGACTTTGAGAGAGGTGTCCAGGATTATTTCTTTCTACCAAATGAAGTAGTTCCATCTGTCGTCTTACTTTTTTTTCTTCTCTCTGCTTTTGAAGCTGTTTGGGGTACTTTTCTGATGCTGGAATATATCTTCTGAGTGGTTTATTAATATTCCATTCAGGCCTCTTGGCGCATTTGTTCGTGTATTTTAGCTTCTCTGTTCTTGTCAACTGATTACACTCGTCCTTATGCCAACTGTTTTCTTTTTCTAAATTAGGTCCTTTATGCTGACTTAATTCTTGCTTGTTTTTCTTCAACTGTCCGTTAAATCCTGTAGAAATTTCGGGCGATAAACAAATACTAACTTCCCTCTCTGTTACCGATTCGCAATATGATTCTGCTTTGGTGAATATTCTTGTAGTTAAGTCCTCTGCAAAAAAATTCAAGATTAACAAGTTGATGTATCATTTTAATTAAAAACTAATTTTCCTCAGATACTAAATAGTTTTGTTACTGTCCTCTAAGATTTTTAGCTTTCAAAATAGAAAACTCTGTATGAACAGCTAACTCTCCATTCCCCCTCTACCTTTTTTTTTTTATTGCTTTTTTTTTTTTTTTTTTTAAAGATTTATTTTATTATTTTTTCATTGGAAAGGCAGATATACAGAGAGGAGAGACAGAGAGGAAGATCTTCCGTCCGATGATTCACTCCCCAAGTGAGCGCAACGGGCCGATACTATGCCGATCCGAAGCCAGGAGCCTCTTCCGGGTCTCCCACGCGGGTGCAGGTTCCCAAAGCCTTGGGCCGTCCTCGACTGCTTTCCCAGGCCACAGGCAGGGAGCTGGAAGGGAAGCGGGGCCGCCGGGATTAGAACCGGTGCCCATTTGGGATCCCGGGCGTGCAAGGCGAGGACCTTTAACCACTTGCGCCACCGCGCCGGGCCCGGTGATTTCCCCCTCTACCTTAACCACCAACGTGCCATCATTTCCTCAGATCTCATCTGTGCTGTGGCTTATGTCAGAATCTGCTGTTTCCACATGGAATCATAATTCTGTTGCATATATCATCTACCACTTTGTTTATCCATGTCTATAGAGCTGCTTCCACTTTTCACCTATTAGAAATACCGTTGTCAACACAAGTACACAAGTATACATCTGAGACTTGCTAGATTCACTAATTCTAATTTCTGAAAATGGGTACAACCTCTGCCTATGGCTAGTCTCCCACGTGGGCACGGATTGGAGTCCCTGCTGGTTCCACTTGCCAGTTCCGCTCCATGCTAGCGGCCTAGGAAAGCAGTAAAAGATGACCCACGTGGTGCTTGGGCCCCCTGCACCCATGTGGAGAACCAGAAGATGACCCAACTCCTGGACATCAGCAGAGTGACCCAGCAGAGGTGAGAATTACTCTGTCCTTCCCTTCCTCTCCAACTGTGGCTTTAGTCATGTAGGTTCCTAACTGCACAATGGTTCCAGTCTCCAAAGCTGTCTCTCTATGCTAGTGGGCAGGCTGTCCACCCACTGGTTTACTCGCCCAGATGGCCTCAATGGCCAGGGCTGAATCGGGCCAACACCAAGAAGTTCCTGCAGGTCTTTCCATAACACATCACTGCTTTCCCAGGCACATTAGCAGAGTACTGGGGACTTGAATGGGAACCCATATGGGTTGCTGACAAGGACAGAGAAATCAGAACGCTCACGCTGGTGACAGGAGTATGAAACAATACAGCTGTTGTGGAAATGTTAGCCGTGGAGCTAGCATATGACTCGAGTCTACTTCTCTCTCCCAAGAGAACTTATGAGTATACGTACACAGACTTTAAAGTATAAGCAACACAAATGTCCGTCTACTCAGAACAACAGCATTTCTACATAAGTCTTTCACATAACAATAGGGACGAAGCAGACCCTAAAATAACACAACCTTCCAGCGCATTAGTAAGAAGCCAGGCATAAAAGCCTACAGAAATGGGCCCGACGGCGTGGCCTAGCAGCTAAACTGCTCACCTTGAACGCCCCGCGATCCCATATGGGGGCCAGTTCTAATCCCGGCAGTTCTACTTCCCATCCAGCTCCCTGCTCGTGGCCTGGGAAAGCAGTCAAGGACAGCCCAAAGCTTTGGGACCCTGCACCCGCGTGGGAGACCTGGAAGAGGCTCCTGGCTTCGGACCGACATAGCATCGGCCGTTGCAGCTCACTTGGGGAGTGAATCATCGGACAGAAGATCTTCCTCTCTGTCTCTCCTCCTCTCTGTATATCTGCCTTTCCAATAGATAAATAAATCTTTAAAAAAAAAAACAATACATAAAAGTTATATAACTACTAACAACACTTATGTATTAAACCTTATGTAATAACCCAGATGCTTCAACCCCTATTTTTAAACTTTGGATATAATTTTAATTGCTTTCATTGTGAATGCGACTTTACTTTTGAACAAACATGAAATCAAATCACAGATACCCGTCTGCACTGCAGTATCCTTCTTGGGAGAAGTGGCAGGACTGACGCCAGTGTTCGCTGTTGCACCGACTCCATCCAGGTTATGTCTTAAATTTGAAATGCTGCTAGTGGCCGTATTACATTCCAACTGTTTTGTATCAACTGGCAATGAGAAAAATTCCATGTAATATAGAAATGCTAAAGGGAATATCAACAATTGAAGCTGTACAGCAGTAGTGTAAGATCATGGGCTTGATTAAACAAGCTTGCCTGGTATTTCCTTTAACAATTACCTTAATCCTTATCTGTTGAATTCAGTGAAATTATTTTTTTCTTATAGAAGTGAGTTTAAAAAGCATATAAAAGTAATGTAATTAATGTGATCAACACTTGGACAAATTTATGTGAAAAATAATACACAAGGCAATTTCTAAAACATGTAAAATAAGCATTATTTTAAGCTCTACGCTTTATTTTAAAGTATTTTATGTATTTACTCAAGATTTTTAGGGGCTAACACCATAGCAGGGTAGGTAAAACTTCCTGAGGCAAGAAAATTCCACATGGGCACCAGGTTTGAGCCTTGGCTGTTCCAGCTGTAATCCAGCACCATGCTCATGTGCCAGGGAAAGCAGCAGAGGACAGCGCCAGCAACAACCTGGGAGAGCCAGAGTTCCTGGCCCCTGAGCAGCCCAGCTCTGCTTTTCCAGCCACTGAATGCAGCAGGGTGTGGAGATTTCTGCCTTTAAGATGACCAAAACAGGAATTACTTAAAATTTTAAAAACAAAAAACATTACTCTGGTTCAGCTCTTACCACCAAGATTTTTAGTCAATCTAGATGTGTCATGTCCTTTTTGAGCCAATTCCCGGATTTTCTGTTCTTGCTTCAGTCTCTGTGCCAGCTCCTGTGCTCTCTGCATTGTCTGGAATAATGCATTTGTCTTGAGAGTCATTATTTCCTGTTAAGATTGAAAAGTACAACGTTGTTAAGCCATCGGACATGTACATGCTTCCCTGTGTCGGCGGATGGCCTGGTCACAGGGATGGAACGCGTCCAGGAGCTCTAAGTGTCTGAGCTTCTACAGTCTACATTTACTGTCTTTCTCTACCAACTGCATTAAAAATTACAAATTTTAGAAACACTTACCCATTTGAAGGTGCTTAAAAATTTTTTTAATTCAGATCACTCATTAAAGATAAACATTACAGGGTGAAACAAAGCTTACGGACACATGCGCTGAGGATACCTGGCTTGTGTTTACGGCACACACCAACGGCAGGCTCAACGCGTCGTATTTTGGGGAAAGAGGGAAAGCTGCTAAATGGGAAGAGGCCTTGAAACCTCTAATCAGCAGACGGAAGATCTTCCTCTCCATCTCTCTTCCTCTCTGTATAACTGACTTCGCAATTAAAAACAAAAAAAGTATCCTGATCTCATTTTCAGTTTGTCTTTTCTCTTAAAAATTTGAAAGGCGGAATTAGAAGATGCAACAGAAATCTCCCATGCACTGGTTCACACCGCAGCTGGCTGTGACCGGTCTCAGCTACACAGAGGTCAGAAGCCAACATCTCTGACCTGGGTCTCCATGTGGGTGGCAGGGCCCAGGAACTGGGCTGTCTTCCTTTGCTCTCAGGCCCCATTAGTATGGAGCCGGATTGGCAGGAGAGCAACCAAGGCCAGAGCTCTGATGAGGGAACTGGCATCACAGACAGTAACTTAACCTATTTCACATATGCCAGCCCTCTCCTCCTTTCCTTCAAAATATTTATTAATGCCCAGAACATCTCTAATAAATTATTTGCCGACGAAGTTCAAGACATGCTGATCAGCTATGGCTACCTATGTCTTTTTTTTTTTTTTTTTAAAGATTTATTTTTATTATTTTTTCATTGGAAAGGCGGATATACAGAGAGGAGAGACAGAGAGGAAGATCTTCCGTCCGATGATTCACTCCCCAAGTGAGCGCAACGGGCCGATACTATGCCGATCCGAAGCCAGGAGCCTCTTCCGGGTCTCTCACGCGGGTGCAGGTTCCCAAAGGTTTGGGCCGTCCTCGACTGCTTTCCCAGGCCACAGGCAGGGAGCTGGAAGGGAAGCGGGGCTGCCGGGATTAGAACCGGCGCCCATATGGGATCCCGGGCGTGCTAGGCGAGGACTTAACCACTTGCGCCACCGCTCCGGGCCCCTACCTATGTCTTTTAAAATCCTCTGTCTCCACCTGGTACTGTAGCGATAGACTCATGTCAACAGAGACCATCATTCTATTAAGTCCTTAATATTCACCTTCTGTATTTGGTAGTTCTCAAACACTGGCTTATTATTTATTTATTTATTTATTTTCAGAGCAACTGGTGGAACAACAAGGTGACTTAGGAACAGATCCAAGAGAAGATAACAGCCGTGAGGAAATGACAGGCTGGCCGTCTACCTCCATGTAGGCAGAGATGGCCAGATGTGAGACCCTGGGCTCAGTGTATGAGAACTAGCGTGTCCTACCAGACAGCTGGGTTTTGTGCAATGTGCTACCTTAGTGGGATGGCTGGTGAGGCTGCTGAGGTGGCCACCAATACACAGATGATGCAACAGCTAAAAGGGAAAGACGATGTCAGGTGACTGCAAGAGATGACCTTCCAGTCTATGAATGACCACGTGGACACCGACAGGCTGGCTGGAGCACCCCGTGCATGACCATGGAAGCCCGATTCTCTGGAAATGAGGCAACTGTGTTCAGAGTTCTGAGGACTCAGTAAGGCAGGCTTTTTTTTAACCACTAATTTATATTTTAAAAGTCATTAATCAATCTAATAACAACATGGCCTACTTCTCAAATATGATATATGATGTTGCAGAAGCTACTGCCAATTTGAGAAATTGAATGCTGCCATGACAGAGTTTGTGTGGTTGTCCTTGAATAGGGTAAGAAAGGAGAACAACAAACTGCGCCTGGTGCAGCAGCCTAGTTGGCTAATCTTTGCCTTGCATACACTGGGATCCAACATGGGTGGTGGTTCTAATCCTGGCGACCCTGCTTCCTTCCAGCTCCCTGTTGTGGCCTGGGAAAGCAGTCAAGGATGGCCCAAAGCCTTGGAACCCTGCACCCGCATGGGAGACCCAGAGGAAGCTAATGACTTTGGATTGGCTCAGATCTGACCATTGCAGCCACTTGCGAAGTGACATAGTGGTTGGAAGATCTTTCTGTCTCTCCTCCCTCTATCTGCATTTCCAACAAAAATAAGTATTTAAAAATAAAACAAACAAAAAACAGAAATGTTAATATTTTCTGGAGCAGTCCAGGTAAGTCTTTATATCCTAGGGCTCCTGGCTTCGGATCGGCTCAGCTCCAGCCACTGCGGTCACTTGGGGAGTGAATCAGTAGAAGATCTTCCTCTGTCTTTCCTACTCTGTATATTTGACTTTCTAATAATAAATAAATAAATACACAAATCTTAAAAAAAACAAACAAACCCTCTTTATCTCCTCCTTGTGGTGTGGCAACATCTTTGTCTCTCATCCAATGCAAAACCACAATTCTGTCCCTTAATTCCTCCAAATAAATCACAACTTGAGTTATTCCTGAATTCCCACCTCCCTTTTGGGTCTCGCATCTTCTGTCCTTAGCAGACAGTTCTTGTATAGCATTTTTCAAAAACACATGCAAATGTTCAACTTCTTGTCATTTTTGTTTTAAAGATGCACACTTATTTTACAATGATGCAGTTTAAATACCTACTTTTGAGTCCACTGGTGTAGCCATCACCTGTGATGCTGGCATATTGGACACTGTATCAAATCTCAGCCCCTCCACTTTGGAGCTAAGGTACCTGAAAGGCACTGGGATGGCTTGTATCCCTACCATGTGGGAAGCTCTGAGTTCTAGCCTCCTGCTTTGGTCCGGCCCGGGTCTGGCTGTTGAGATCATTCAAGGAGTTCACCAGTTGATGGAAGATCTGCCTCTCCTCCTCTCTTTCTTCAAAATAAATAATAAATGTGAGTACCTACTTCCTTTTGTTTCTGTCTCAGTACATCTTCTTCATACTGTTTCTGCATCTCTTCCCGCTCCCGTGCTAGGCGAAGCTCCTCTAGCAGTTCTTCCTTCTTTCTCTGCTCTTCTTCGAGCTGCTTTTTCCGACGCCTTTCTTCTACTTGAGCAGTGATGGCTTTCTAGTCACAGGCAATCACATGGATCATTGTTGATCAAATTGAGCAAGATAAACATTAAACATATCAAGCACTTCACATATCACAGAGCTTAAACAACTGTATTTGGGGCCTAGCACAACAGTTCAATTGGATAATCCTTCTCTTGCAAGCACTGGGATCCCACATGGGTGTCAGTTTGTATCCTGGCTGCTCTGCTTCCCACCCAGCTCCCTGCTGTGGCCTAAGAAGGCAGTTGAGGATGGCCCAAATCCTTGGGACTCTGCACCCCCGAAAGACAGTGAAAGAAGCACCAGGTTTTTGGCTTCAGATCAGCTCAGCTCTGGCTGTTGTGGCCACTTGGGCAATGAACTACCAGACAGAGGATCTTTCTGTCTGTCCTTCTTTCTTGTAAATCTGCCTTTTCAATAAAAATAAATCTTGGGGAAAAAAAGAGGGGGGGCGGGCTCAATGGAGTAGCCTATCAGTTAAAGTCCTCTCCTTCACATATGAGTGCAATCCCAGCAGCCCCACTTCCCATCCAGCTCCCTGCCTGTGGCCCGGGAAAGCAGTCGAGGACGGCCCAAAGCTTAGGGACCCTGCACCCGTGTGGGAGACCCGGAAGAGGCTCCTGGCTTTCGGATCGGCATAGCATCGGCCGTTGCAGCTCACTTGGGGAGTGAATCATCGGACGGAAGATCTTCCTCTCTGTCTCTCCTCTCTGTATATCCGCCTTTCCAATAAAAATAAAAATCTTAAATAAAATAAATCTTTAAAAACAAAAATAAAAAATTATACTGAATACCAGAAAGGATCACCAATCTGTCCACAGCCACTTGTCTTCCAACAGAGAAATAAGTTGTACATACCAATTTGAATTCTCTTAAGTTAATGTTAAGAGTCTCATCAGTTTTTCTTCTGAGTTTTGTTCAAAATGAAAATCAGTTCTCTGAAGGGAAATACATTGGGGAGAGATCTTCCATCCACTGGTTCAACCTTAAATGAGCAGTGTGCAGAGCTGGGCTGGCCGGAAGCTGCTGCTTCTTCCAGGTCTCCCACAGATTAAGGGACCTAAACACTTGCACCATCCTCTACTACTTTCCAAGGCACTCTGACAGGGAGCCGGCTCAAGCAAGCACTGCCGCACACAGCTGGGTGGATGGAGACTCTAAGGTGGACTGTGTCAGCCCAAGGACCTTGCGGGGAGGTCCTCTTCCTTGGCTTGGCAACACTGACAACGCTTCAGAACTTGCAGAACCTTCCACACATGTTCCGCATCGGAGAGCTGAGCTGATATTGGGTGGCCGTTCCCCATCCCCAGGTGCTGAGGTGGTAGGGAGGCTGGGTGTTGCTTCTCTCCTTATCTCCCCTCTCCCCCCAGATACAGGAGAAAGAAAAAGACAATTTGAAAATAATTTCCCACTTTTCCCTAATCCCTGATTCTTGCCACCCTGATTAACTATGTAAACATCATCAAAAATAAAAACTAAAAAAAAAAGCAAAACAGGGCCTGGAGCAGTAGCTTAGCAGCTAAAGTCTTTGTCTTGCACATACTAGAATTCAATTTGGGTGCCAATTCTAATCCCGGCAGCTCCATTTCCCATCCAGCTCCCTGCTTGTGGCCTGGGAAAGCAGTTGAGGATGGCCCAGAGCCTCAGGACCCTGCACACATGTGGGAGACTCGGAAGAAGTTCCTGGCTCCTGGCTTCGGATTGGCTTATTTATTTATTTATTTATTTATTTATTTATTTCCATTTGAAAGGGACCATCACAGAGAGGAGAGAAAGATCATCCATCCACTGGCTCACTCCCCAAGTGGATGCAACAGCCAGAGCTGAGTCAATCCGGAGCCAGGAGCCAGGAGCCCCCTTGGGGTCTCCCACATGGGTGCAGGGGCCTAAGGCTTTGGGCTGTCCTCGACTGCTTTCCCAGGCCACAAGCAGGGAGCTGGATGGGAATTGGGAGCACCTGGGACACGAACTGACACCCACATGGGATCCTGGATCTTACAAGCTGAGGATTCAGCCACTGAGCCATCACACCAGGCCCACAAAATTCTTATATTATGCCACAGGGATTAGTTTCAACACTGGATAGGATTAAAATTTCCTACCGGGTTTTTAATTTCCATTTACTCTATGGAAATATTAGCAAGGATTATTATCCAATAATACAAATAAAAATATTTCTCAATACTACACCTGATAAAAAATAATAGCAATAAAAAAATAAACTAAAGGAAGAAAATACTACACCTGATGTTCTAACTGCTTCTGTCGTCGCCGGTCTCGTTCCTCAATCTCAGCTGGGTCCAGGAGCGCAGTCATAGAACGGAGAAAGCTGCAAGAGACACACACACCAGTTCTTCAAACCCCAGCAAGGCAGGTTCAACAGACTTAGTAATATCTGCCTGGGATCCAACTGCTAAGTTTTCTATTTCAAAAAACAATGCCGATATGAAACCAGCTAGATATAGTACAGTCCTACTAAAAAATAGATTCTCTTAAAAAAAAAAAAAAAAACAAGCAATAAGTAACAAACTTACTTTGTTTTTTGTGTGTTTCTCATAGCCACATCCCTATGAGGCTTTTCTACATGTGCCTCCTTGGAAGGGTCAGCCTGACTCCCCGTCACAGGGGTACACACACTGTTGACATCGGCCAGCTCCGGAGTGCCAGGCGAGACGCTCAAGTACTCAGGTGGTCTGTGTGTTGACCGAGAGGACAGGCGAGACTGAGAACCAGGGTAACTCTTTAACGAATCAAAATGCATTGCCCATCTGTCATGCTCCTCACCCTAATCATAACAAATAAGAACTGCTAAGAATTTCTCCAATTATTCCCACAGAAAATCCAAAATGACAAACATGATTTCTCAAAGTGATAACCATGCAGAGTAAGCATCATAAAAAATTAAACATTAAAATTTTGTTTTCATCACATTTAGTTAGCTGAGAAATAAACAGAACTGAAAATGCTTCCAAGTTTATGATTAAAGATTTTGAAGGTAGTTTTTCTTTATAACTATAAAACCTCTATGATTTTACCTTTGAGGATATCATCTTTTCCTCTATTTTTCTTTGCTGATCACCTTCTATTTGCTTATTCAATTCCTCAAGCCATTTTTTCTGCTGTTGTTGCATAGCACAGAAAGGGTGTTTGGGCAGTGCTGCTTCCTAAAGAACAGTCACCAAAACCAGCTGAGACACAGTTCGTTTGGTAACTAGTTTATTAGAGCATCTGCAAATCTTCCCAAAGAAACAAAAACTCAGACCAGGAAGGCACTTAGGAGCATTAACTTCAAACCAAGAATGTGAAAATGCAAGAATTAAACACACATTTGACTCTAAGGATTATATTTTAAACATGTTAGCAGTGGGACATAATAAGCTGTCAGGAGGAGGACAAGAAGAGTTTAATTATCTCCTTGAAGCAGTCTACAGACAACACAGTTGGGGGAAAGCATGCGGTGGGGACTCTGCCGTCCAGGAAGGCCCTACTTGTCACTTCCTCACTCCCAGGCTGAAACCCCGACAGCCTTCTTGTGCGTCGCCCACCCTTGCACAAGCACACAAGGCATTCATGTGTATGCTGCAGCTGTCAGGACACATGCATCACAAAGGACAGGCTCTCAACAACTGCAAAACCAAGTGCGGAAATCACCATTTCAAAAGAATATAGTAATTTATTTGCAAGAGGTACAGATAGACAAAGACACTCTTCCATCCATTGGTTCACTCCATAGATGGTTGCCAATAGCCAGGGCTGGGCCAGGCTGAAGCCAGGAGCTTCATTCAGCTCACCCACATGAGTGGCAAGGACCCAAATATTTGAGCCATCTTCCACTGTTTTTCAGAGACCATTTGCAGACAGCTGTGTTGGAAGTGGGGTGACTGGGACTTGAATCAGTGCCCATATGGGATGACAGTGTCACAGGAGGCAGCTACACCCATTATGCCACAACACTGACACCCTCAGTAACTTTTTAAATATTTGAATGAAGACTTCTGCTATTTCAAACTCAAAAAGCCACCAACAGCCCCGGCTGGGCCAGGCTGAAGCCAGAAGCTTGGAACCTACATCTGAGTCTCCCACTTGAGGGACATGGTCGCACGCCCTTGGGACATCTGCTGTCTCCAGGAACAATAACCTACTGTACCACAATGCCAGTGCCCTTTCTTTCCTCACGATTTACTTATTGATTTGAAAGAGTCAGATCTTATACCTACTGAGTCAGTCTGCAAACAGCTACAATGGTCAAAGCTGAGCTAGGCCAAGGCCAGTTGCCTGGAACTTCATCTAGGTTTCCCATGTGGATGGCAGGGGCCCAAGTAGCTGGCACTTACTCTGCTGCCTTCCAAAGCATAGAGACCCGGATCAGAAACAGAACTGGTTCAAATCCCAGCTGTGGACCTACCACCATTCTCCCTCGTGGTGGGTAGCTCATGGGGGCCTGAGGATGCAGGTGTGGGTGGTGGGAGGGCTAGGGGCATAGCACTGGTGGGCATGTGTGGATCTGGGAGCTCCCTCTAGGCAGTTGGAGCAAACCTAGTTATTTCCCCATGTGCTTGGTCCTGGGCGAGGTGAGGAGAGGGGAGGGGAAGAGTCCCAGGTCGGCACGCTGCTCTGGTGTGCTGGTGGACTAGAACAAGAGAACTTCAATAGGCCTTGATATGGGATGTGTAGAGGGGTAAGGCACCAGGCCAGCACATGTTCCAGGAGCTAAGGATGCTGGTGGTCAGGCAGAGCTCCAGATCAGAACACTACCCACTGGAATTCCGAAAGCTGGGCTGGAGAACCCATGCACTCCTGTGGATTGATTAGGGAAAGGAGCAAGGGGAGATGGGGTAGGAAGGACCACCATGGGAGTATCTAGCAGGTTAGGAATGACTCCTGAGGGATTCCCAATGACAAGGCCACTGTACTTGGCAGGTAAATGAGGGGACTGAGACATGGTTTGGAGGGGAGACACCGGAAGACCTTTATGGGTTAAACCAACACATCAGCACACATGGGAGACCTGAGCTGGGCTTGTTGGCATGAAACATTGCTGACCGCCACACATCAGCCCACAGGGCTAGATACCAGTACCTAACTGTGTGTCAGAGAAGGGGATGGGTCACATTAGGCTGGGCCATGACACTAACCAGCATGCAAGAGAACCAGGTACAGAGGTAGACTCTGTGGGGGATATGTGGGCCTGACCCTGTGGAATTACAAGTCCCACTCATTAGCTTAAGAGTTGGGGTGGGGATGGGCTGAGCTAGGGTGTGACCATGGAACCCGCTAACACTCACAGGTACTGGGACTTGGGAACAGGCTGGCCAGGTCCAGGCTGCAGCAACCACATCAGCAAGCCAAAACAAGGTGTGGAGCAGGCCAGGCCATAACATCCAACAGCTTATACAAAGATCGGGAATGAATGGGGCAGGTTATGCTGGGTAACGGCCTAGCACCCACTGGCATGCGTGAAATCTGAGTCTGAGAGTGGGTCAAGTGGGGGAACTTGGAAAACTCCCCTAGTGAGTCATAGCTACCACTAGTGAGCATGTGGTCCAGGCCTGGGTGTTGGGCAGGCTGAACAAAGTAGTTCCAACTGTTGGCAAATGTGCGGGTTGGTTTTGGAACGGGGCAGACTGGGCAGGGCCAAGCAAACCTTAGCCCACTAGCAAGTCCAGAAAACAGGATGGAATACAAGTTATTCCGGGCTAAACTTTCATGCCTACTACTTTGTATGAGCCAGGGATAGGAGTAGACTGAGCACCTGCCAGCAAGAGTTGAGACCCTGCAATCATATGGGAGATCAGAAAGCAAAAGCTCATGGCCTAAGTTTGGGGCCGCTCTGTCCACCATAGCCACTTTGAGTGAGCCAGCAGATGGAAGGTCTTCTCTTTTTGTCTCTCCTTTTCTCTGTAAATCTATCTTTCAAATAAAAATAAGTAAATGTTTGAAATAACAAGCAGTGGTATGACTGGGATTTACTTTGGTGCCCTGCTACAGCATGCCAGCCTCTGAGGGAAAGGAGAGATTGTTCATCTGGTGTTACTGTCCCCAAATGGCTGCACTGGCTAGAGTTGGGCCATCTGAAGCAAGCACCCAAGAGGTTCTTCTGAGTCTCTCTTGTGGGTACAGCTTGTGCCATCTTTTGTTGCCTTCCCAGGAACACCAGCAAAGCACTGGAATACTAATGGAGCAGTTGGGCCCGGTGCAGTATCCTGCTGCTAAAGCCTTTGCCTTGCATGCACTGGATTCCATATGGGGACCGGTTCTAATCCCGGTAGCCCTGCTTCCCATCCAGCTCCCTGTTTGTGACCTGGGAAAGCAGTCGAGGATGGCCCAAAGCTTTGGGACCCTGCAACCGCGTGGGAGACCAGAAAGAATTCTAGGCTCCTGGTTCAGATCAGATCAGCTCAGCTCCAGCTGTAGCGGCCACTTGGGGAGTGAACCAGCAGATGGAGATTCTTTGTGTGTATCAGCCTTTCCAATAAAAATAAATAAGAAAGACAGGAAGGAAGAAAGTAAGGAAGGGACGGAGGTAGGGGGGGAGAGAGAGCGAGCGAGAGAGAGAAGAAGAGAAAGGGAGGGAGGGAAGGAGGGAGGGAGGGAGGGAAAGAGAGAAAGAAAAAGAGAGAAAGGAAGGAAGGAAGGAAGGGAAAAAAGAAGAGAAAAGAAAAGAAAAGAAGAGAAAAGAGAAGAAAAGAAAAGGGAGGGAGGGAAGGAAGGAAGGGAGTCGCAACTTGAATGGGCACACATGAGGAAGATGATGGTGCTCCAGGAAGCCGCCTTCTTTGCTACACCACATCATGGGCACTTTATACACATAGCTTAAACTTAAGTTCCTACAATATTCATTATTAATTCTATTACTTATTTTGAGAGACAGGTAGGAGACAAAAGCCTCCCATCTGTGAGTTCATTCTGCATATACCTTCAGTAGACAGGTCCAGGAAGGAGCCAGATGCAAGGAACTCTAATCACATGTGACTGGCTGAGACCCAGGCACTTGAGCCATCCCAGGGTATGCAATGGCAGGACTCTGGATCAGAAGCGAAGCTGGGATTCCACCACAGCATATGGGAATCCCCAAAAAAGATTTTAACCACTGGACCAAGTGCCTCTGAAGGTAGTTTTATATGGAATTTAGTGGATCCAGAAGTATAGATTCTTCTAAAATGAGCTGTCGGGTCTACTTTCTTGCCTTTCAATAAAGTGCTTTTTAGATCATAGAGAAATATAATTCAGATTTAATTCTTTTATTCATGGAAAATTAGCAATAGACAACAAATTAATGTAGCACAGTCAGTTCTACATGGAACACAGCAGACAGCTATACAGTGTACCTCAGACATTAGGACAGAGTGCTGAAAACTTCTATTTTCATAATCAGCTCTTCAGGTTTAATGTACTATTTTCAGAATATATTTGTTCACAAGAAAAGCATTACACAGTAAAAAAGTAAACAGATTTTTTTTAAAGCAATGAAACACTCAAGAAAGTTAACTAGTAATTTTAAAAATAAAGACTTACATTCATTCTTACAAGGAACATAAGAATATACATAAACGTTCTTAAGTGTAACTTACCTCTACATTCTGACCATCTCTAAGCAGCGAGTGCGTGTCAGCTTGGACCACTGTCACCTGATTAGGAGATGGTGACAGAATATTGGAAGAGTCCGCAGACACCTAAAACCAAACAGGAAGACAAGAGTACATTTTCTTTATCTACAACTAAATACTGAGAAAAAGCACTACATGACAGATACCTGGTCCTATATTTATACTTATATCAATTTTCATTTGCTTTAACAATCTTGTTACATCATTTGGTTAGTGGTAGCATTTTATGGTCTTTTGAAAAATTGCAGTTCCTTTATAAGAGAGGTCCTTAACCGCTCCGGAACGGCTCACTAAGCCGCAGCTCACTGCTGCTGTCCCAGGGAGGCCAGTTCCTGGATCCCCTGCTCCCCACACGGGAGATGTAGAGAACTCCCTGGCCTTGGCCTAGCCCAGCCACAGCCATTGCAGGGATTTGGGGACTGACGAGCAGATAGGAAATACCTGTCTACACCTCTGCTTTCACACAAATCCATATTCTTTAAAAGGCTGTGCCTGAGGTGTCCATCACTCACTAAGTGAGCAAGACAACAGAGACTAGTTGAGATCATAACTGTGCAAAATAATATTTTAAATGCCTATGAAAACAAGATCTAAATATAAATTTAATATAAACACTGGTTATCATTTTTAAAATTGTAATTAACAAGCCCCAAATTCTGCAAATGTTTGATTTTGTTACTCTTACCCTAGATTTGTCAAAATCTTGACATTTTTCCCACAGTGCTTCATTACTATCAGATTTTTTCCACTGATTATTCCATTTTTCAGAAGCTTCTTTTTCTTTCTTCTTTAAAGCAACCTGTTCATCTGCAAATAATGTCCTTTTTAAAAAAATGTACAAAAATTGTAAAGAAAGAATCATGTAAACAAATCATCACCTTCTTAAAGAATGCACATTCTGAAACAATCAGTGTATTTTAATAGGGAGAAAATTAACTCACAAGGCAGAAAGGAATATTGGGGAACATAAAACAAAAGGCTTAACAGGACCCAACTTAAGAATGGCATAGAAGGATGTGAAAATGTCTGCTTTAAATAAAAAAAAAAAAAAAAAGAAAGAAAATGTCTGCTTTACGATAATTATCAATAAGGAACAATTTTATTAGAATAACTTATGCTAATTATTTCAAGTCTCTACTCCAATATAATACTCATTCAGTTTCTACAAAAAGAATTAAATGGTAGAACACTATGAAGTCAGAAATCTAGCATCAAGTTCAACCACTTTCCAGCTGCCATTAACCTTTCTATGCCTTGATTACTTTTGTAACACATTTAATAAGTGATTTTTTTTTTCAAAATAGGTCCCAACACAAAGAAAATATTCAATAAATGCTAAATACCTTATAACAACTTATGAAAATTTAAAAAAACAAAATCCTGTATCTAACAGATAGCTATAGTCAAGACTAAGCCTGAAACTGCTAACTGTTCTTTAATTCCAAGGAAACAGATATCCTATTTCCACTGTTGCTGGGCATGTAGACCACAGCACCACTGTATAAGTCAGTACACAGAGTGTGCTCAGACAATGCAAACTTGATCGATCGTATGACCCTGCTATCCCACTCCTTGGAATGTGTCAAGGAAGTGAAGTCTGCGTATGAGAAAGCACCCTGCAACCCTACATTTATAGTGGCACAATCCTACACTAGCAAAAACATGAAAATAATTCAGATATTTATCCAAAGACGAATGAGTATGAAGCTGTGGTACATCTATTCCATAGAATACCATTAAAAAGAATGAAAATCTACCATTTGCAACAAAATGGTCCCAATTACAGACCATTATTGCTCAGCAAAATAAGCTAATCCCAAAAGGACAGATTTCATTATGTTCTTATAAAAATACAGAATAAACAGATATACAGGTGAACAAGCCTATGCAAACAGTGCCATAGATGAACTGTATGATGGAGACTAACATACCGGGAAGTGAAGACACACTGCAGCAGGCAACTCGACTCTTAAAAACTCTCCCAGTGAAACAGTTAAATACACCTCGCCAATGTGATATTAGATTTTCTACCTTTGTCTATGTCTACAATGCCATGACACACTTAGATAGCAGAATAGCAAACTTATAACTATTACTAAAGGACTATACTACCATAATAATATGGGATGGGGAGAGCAGGAGGGGAAAATGAAGAGGGAGAAGGAATTCCTACAAAACTGTGCCATGAAAAATAAAAAAATGTAAGAATGAAACACAAAGACATGCTTTGCTAACAGTATCAAGTTTTGAAAAGTAAATTAAAACAAAAATTTACTTGACAGGCAGTGAGAATAAGCCAAAAAAAATCTCCCAATCTCTGCTTCACTTCACAAATGGCTGCTTAAATCGCTGGGGTGGGGCTGAGCAGGCTAAGTAGAAGATGGGAGCTGGGTTACCAATCTGGGTCTCCACAGTAGATGTGAGCAATCTAATCACACTGGAGCAGTCACTGCTGCCTCCTAAGTCTATATTAGCAGGAAGCTAGAGTCAGGAAAACAGTCAGGTAGGGAACCCACTTACTCTGATATGAGCTATGAGTAACTTAACTGCCAGGCCAAATGCCTATTTCAGGAAACTGTTTATTAAAACTGCAAATAAAGAATGAAATATTTTAGTTTTTCCAAGAAATTCCACTGAAAATGTGGAAATCTGGTATTTTATTTGTAATGTACATTAAAAGAAAAACTGTTATTTAAACATACAACAGAGCTCCAAGCTTTCTAATACTACAATGAATTTAATTTCTTCATTCTTCTGCAACCTGGACTTCCAACATCACTCATGCCCTATTTCTTTTTCAAAATTACACATCCTAACAAGGTTACTGATCGTCTTATACGGTTTTCTGCTAGACTGGAGGGTAAAGCCAATCCTAATGCCTTTACTAAACATTACACAGAAGTACAAGAATTAAGCTGTTCATGCTCCCCGGTATCTAAGGCATAATGGAGAAAGACCAGTGTTAAACCGCCAAGTTGCAATGCTACTATCCCATGTTGGAGTGCTAGTTTAAGTTCCTGTTGCTCTACTGATGCCAATAATGTGCCTGGGGAAGCAGCGGAAACTCCAAGCACCTAATGCCTGCCACTCTTACAGGAGAGGCAGATGGAAGCTCCACCCCCTTCACTTCAGCCTGGCACAGCCCTGGACACTGCACCTATTTGGAAAACAAACTAGTGAATTGTTCTCTATTTTCCCCATGTCCCAACTCCAGCACCTTGCTTTTCAAAAAAAATAAATTAAAAAAATTGGGGGAGTTGTGGAAGAAATCAGTGTTTTATTTGTTATTAATGAAATTTCAAGACTAACAGAAATCACAAACTTTTCTGCGTTAGGTCCCTCCCTAGGTGACAGAAAGCAATAACTTGTTTCTGTCTATAAATATCAACTGATATTGTAAATAGCATATTCAGTGATTATTCTTGATTAGAATTTTTTTAAAAAGTTATTTTTGTTGGAAAGTCAGATATTCATAGAGAAGGAGACAAAGAGGAAGATTCACTCAAGTGGCTGCAACAGCCAGAGCTGGGCTGATCTGAACCCAGGAGCCTGGAGGCTCTTCCAGGTCTCCCATGCAGGTGTAGGGTCCCAAGGCTTCAGGCCATCCTCAACTGCTTTCCCAGGCTATAAGCAGGGAGCAGGATGGAAACTGGGGCAGCTGGGATCAGAACCGGCGCCCATGTAGAATCCTGGTGCATGCAAAGTGAGGATTTTAGCTGCTAGGCTACTGTGCCAGGCCCAAACTTATTGCTCAGATGAAAGCTTTACTGAGTTAGTGACAAGGGAAGGAATAGAATATTTTAATAAGGAATACATCAATTTTTAGCAATATCATTCTTAAATTCATAGGATTTCTGTAACAAAAATATGAAAATGCATTCGATAAAAGACCTAAACCTACATCCAGAAACCTTCAAACTCTTGCAAGAAAATGTAGGAAATACCCTGCAAGACCTAGGAGTAGGTCCTGACTTTCTAAGGACACCAAAAGCAATAGCAGTTGAGAACAGAATAAACAAATGGGACCTCATCAAACTAAGAAGCTTCTGTACAGCAAGGGAAACAATCAGCAAAGTAAAAAAGCAACCCAAAGAGTGGGAGATCTTTGAACACTACATAGGTGATAGGGGGCTAATCTCCAGGATATACAAAGAACTTCAAAACAACCAAAACACCAAAACAAACAAACCACTCAAGAAATGGGCACGGGAAATGGGCAAACATTTCACAAAGGAACAAGCCCAAATGGCAAACAAACATATGAAAAAATGCTCCAGTTCCCTGGCAATAAGGGAAATCCAAATTAAGACATCGATGAGGTACCACCTAACACCACTAAGATTGTCCCACCTAAAAAAGAACACCAACGACACTTGTTGGCAAGGCTGTGGGGAAAAGGGAACCCTACTCCACTGCTGGTAGGGCTGCAGGTTAGTACAGCCTTTATGGAAATCAGTATGGAGAACACTTAAACAACTCAAAATCTGCATACCATATGATCCAGCAATAGCACTCCTAGGAATATATCCAAAACACCTGTTTCATGACAAACCAACACGTTTGTTCACGACAAGCCAACATAGGTGTTTGTCAACAAACCCCTATGTTCATAGCAGCACAATCAGTAATTGCAAAAACATGGAAGCAAATGAAATGCCCATCAGCAGAAGATTGGATAAGAACGCTTTGGTTCATCTACTCCATGGAATACTACTCAGCTATTAAAAAAAACAAAATGCAGTTCTTTGTGGCTAAATGGGCCCAACTGGAAACTATAATGCTAAGGGAAATGAGCGAATCCCAAAAGGTTAGATACCACATGTTTGCCTTAATTTAACTTGTATTTTTTTGATCCTGTCATTGACACTGTCTCAACACATGTGTTTTGAAAAACTGAACTTGCATTATTTTTAACATATTATTTACTCAATACTATGTCAATCAATTCCATAACACTATATATTGTTGCTGATGTTTTGTTGGGGCTTTTAACTGACCAGGATTTTACTCTGTTAGCTTTGCCTTCAAACCAGGGAAGGCCTCCCCAAGAAGCCGTTAAAGTTATCAGGACAATAAGATGCTGGACTCAATGCTGGGTATGTGCTTGCAATGAAAGAATCTCAACTGAATTTGAACTGTGGTTATGCAGCATGGGGAGAGGGCTGTGGGAGGAGCGGGGGAAGTCCAAGCACCTATAAAACTGTATCACATAATACAATGTTATTAACAATAATAAAAAAAAAAAAGAAAAGCTTAAGAATCTGAACTACAGAGGCTTCAGAATACCAGTGCATACCACAGAGTATCAAATAAAGACACAACCTACAGCAATGTGGAACCACAATGTTTCTTATGCATTCAAAGACTGCTCTGGTTGTCAAACAATACAAGACTTTGGAAATAATCACACTGAAAGACATAATTCCTCAATACATATTTCACAAACCAAAAAAACTTAGTAGTGGAAATAAAATTTACCCACCCAGTTCTTTCCTCCATTGGGCTTTTTTTGCCTCCAACAAACTTCTATCACGTTCCCTTTCCCCCAGAGTACTGAATATGCCAGCTGGTTTCCATTCATTCTCTCTGAATAAAACACACAAAAAAACTTTATTATGCATGAGCATTAACAAACCTTAAAAGCACCAAGTCGTCAACAACTTTCACATGAAGTAAACGTAAAGCAAAATACATTCCCAAGATGATTTCCCAACAGCAAGTGTGAGCTACATACACGTCAAGTTTCTGCTCAGACTGCTTGCAGGCCTCCTGGTTTCCATTCCCGTGCAGAATGGCTGACACCCCCTCAACCTTTTGGAGTAATCCTACAGTGTTTTCGTCCTTTGCCTCATTAGGAATATTGCTTATGTTAAGACTATATTGATCTAGGAGATAAAACACAGGTTTTACAATTACTGCTGAATTATACTTTTTATCAACAACTTATGGTCTATTGCTATCCAATTTTTAAAGTGTTACACATTGCTCAACTTTCACAATAATCCTAGAGGTAGGTATCTGTCACGCAACACAAACTGAGTCCCAGAGACCAAAAGAACTGCTCATGATCATAGCCATGTAGCTTCTTCTACCAAACAAAAATAAGTAAACAGGAAAAAGCCTTCTATTAGTTCTGGCTGACATATTTTTACAATTAACACAAAACACAACAAAGGGAAATGAAAATAACTCATCAACTTGTAAAATCATTGAAAAACTTTTTTTTTTGGACAAACTGCATGTTCTAGTTATAGTCGCATGTTGTTTATGAGAAGGTACATATATGTTGCCCCAAAAACTTGTAATTCCTCCAAAGTGCCAGATCTCCCAATGAAGATAAAGCACATCTAACGTGTACCTTAGTACATGATTGTGATATTATTTCTCATCATGCCTAATAAGTTGTTACTTACTGTTCTCTGAACTAGAATTTCAGACTCAAGAGAAATTCTAGTTTCCTCATTTTACAAAGAATAATATGGACCAAAAGAGTAATGGCTCCATCTTGAGCATCTTTGGAGAATGAGTTATCTAATCACCATTATCAACTGTGAGGCCTCTCCATGGGAATGTCAATTTCATTTTATTTCACTATTCTATAATTTTAATGCTTCCATTATCATCATATTCATAATTCTTTGGCTCAAAGTTGCAACGAGAAAACCTTTAAAACATAATAAAATGCTCTAACTTGTGAAACAGCACAGATTTTTATACTCCCCTACTCCTGAGTCTGAGGGATAGGAAGAGCAAATGCAAGCAGCAAGAAACCAATGCTTTATCGCAATTCCAAAGTTTCATGCTGAAGTTCCTTATCCTCGGCCTTAAAAAACACAGGCAATTTTCCAGATAAAGCTTAACTAGCATGATTTTTACACTATCATCTTTTGAGAGTCCACAGATTTTAATTCCTTAAGGCTATGATATGTAAGAATTATGTCCTGAGCACTGACATTAAAATATAGCATATTAAAACTGTAAAAGAAGAGGCCAATAAATGAATATTTTAAAAGATATTTACAATGTTAAACTAGAACTTATGAGGTTTACATAAAATCCAACAGATCTGAAATTCTGCAGCATGTTGAAAAAACAAACGTATTAAAACTTGAGGGGCCCGGCGCGGTGGCACAGTGGTTAAGGTCCTCGCCTTGCATGCCCGGGATCCCATATGGCTGCCGGTTCTAATCCTGGCAGCCCCACTTCCCATCCAGCTCCCTGCCTGTGGCCTGGGAAAGCAGTCGAGGATGGCCCAAAGCTTTGGGGCCCTGCACCTGTGTGGGGGACCTGGAAGAGGCTCCTGGCTTCGGATCGGCATAGCATCGGCCGTTGCGCTCACTTGGGGAATGAATCATTGGACGAAAGATCTTCCTCTCTGTCTCTCCTCTCTGTATATCCGCCTTTCCAATGAAAATAAAAAATAAATCTTTAAAAAAAAAAAAAACTTGAGCAATACCTTACCTGTTTCCTCCTCTCTCACATCCCCAGGCTGGGAAACAGGCCGGTTTCCTTGGGTAACCGACATCAAAATCTGTTGCAGCTGGTCTTGTGTCAGACACACCAAGCCACCCTTCATATTTTCAGCTGTCATGGGCTTCTTGCAAGACTGCGGTTTAGCCACTAGAGATGTATTTGCAGTATTTCTAGTCCTTTGTATGTTAAGGGTGGCAGGTGAAATCTTATCCTGGATATGAAGATAGTCTTTATCTAAATACAGCTTACATAAATCCTTAGCAGGTGAAAAAGTCAGTCTATGTTTTTCACCTTTTGCCTGTGATGTTTCTGGGTCAATTGTCTTATTTTGTGCAAGTTTTCCACTCCTGATGTAAGAATTTTGTGTTGATTTTATAAAGTGTCCACTTTGTTTTGTTCTTAAAGCACATTTTACAATCTTGGTCTTACTTCCCATCTGTTAAAACATGAGAAACTTATTTTTAACAGTTCAAGAAAAATCTAGCTAAATTTATATAATCTGTGTTGAATCAGTCCTATAAACTTTTCTACACTTTGGCATTTAGATATTACAGCTATGACAATCTAATACTTCATCTTTGCAAATCTTCAAAACTTCGTCAACAACCACAAATCATTTTACTTAAGGACAACAAGGAACACAGAAGAATTTTTATTCTAGTCATTAAAGGACATCCGTATTTCACTTCACTCTCATCTTATTATTATACTACTGACACTACTTCTTTTCTTTACACACATTTACAGAATCACACCAGTGCTGATTGCTTGAACATCTTTTGTGTATTACCCTTAAACATGACTCCTGTCTTAATTTCTGGTGCTTTGACATCCACATACTCATTACTCATTCATCCAACACTGTGGCTTCTTATGCCCTACAATTCTACTCCTGTGCTTCCATGTTGTCTTATGTACTTTTGCCAGAGTAGTAGCTTAACTGTATAACAGTGTAACACTCATAACTGCAATCTCTCTATAACCTCATTTTTTAAGGTTTATTTTTTATTGGAATGGCAGATTTACAGAGAGAAAAGCAAGAAAGATTTTCCATCAGCTGGTTTACTCCCCAAGTGGCCGCAAAGGTTGGCACTTGGCCCATCTGAAGCCAGGACCCTTCCTCAGATCTCTGGTGCAGGTGCAGGGTCCCACATCTTTGGGCCACCTTCTGCTAATTTTCCTGGCATAAGCAGGGAACTGAATGGGAAATGGAGACAGAAAGAGCTTCCATCTGCTGGTTCACTCCCCAAATGGCTGCAACAACTTAACTGAGCTTATGTGCCGAGCCAGGAGTCTCTTCCAGGTCTCCCATGAGGGTACTTGCAGGCTCAGGATTAGCCATTCAAGTCATCCTGCAGGCACCATCCCTTAAGAATCTTAAACTCTAGGGCCCGGCGCGATGGCACAGTGGTTAAGGTCCTCGCCTTGCACGCTCGAGATCCCATATGGGTGCCGGTTCTAATCCTGGTGGCCCCGCTTCCCATCCAGCTCCCTGCTTGTGGCCTGGGAAAGCAGTGGAAGATGGCCCAAAGCTTTGGGGACCTGCACCCGCGTGGGATACCCGGAGGAAGTTCCTGGATCCTGGCTTCAGATTGGCTCAGCTCCAGCCGTTGTGGCCACCTGGGGAGTGAATCATAGGACGGAAGATCTTCCTCTCTGTATATCCGCCTTTCCAATAAAAATAAAATATATCTTAAAAAGAAAAAAAGAATCTTAAACTCTATAGTTAACCAGATTCCTTTTTCCCTCTGCTGTTTGCTCTGCTCTTGGTCATGCAGATTTGACAAATCCCAAATCCAAAGAGAAAACAAAACACAACCACGTGCACTGGTTTCACCTTGAACTTAAAACCAAGGTCATCAAATGGGCTGCTAATGCTATTTTCTAGTTGTACACTGCCCAGTTCAGTCAGGGCTGAGCCAGGACAAAGCTGAGAGCTTAGAATTCTTTCTGGGGATTTAACATGAGTGGTAGGGCCTACTTGAGCTAACACATTACCACCTTTTGACTGTGTGAATTAATTAGCAGGACACTGGATCACAAGCAGAGTTTGGGACTTTAAACTAGGTACTGTGCAAGGCAACAAGGCCTCCTAAGCAGTATCTTAACCGTTCCATCAAATATTCATCTCTAGGTTTTGGGTAACACCAGTAATTCAATTTTAAAATGGCCTTTTTTAGGGTAGGCATTTAGTGAGACACTGAAGACACCACCTCCCATACAGGAGTTCAGTTCGTGGTTCTGCTCCAATTCCACCTTTCTACTAATACATGTCCTGAAAGACAACTGGTGTGTCTCCAGTAACTGTGTCCCTGCCACCGAAGTGCAAGACTAGGATTGCGTTCCTGTTTTCTGGGCATTTGAGGCATTTCAGCCTACAGGCAGGAGCTCTTACTACCCATCAAATAAATGAAATAAAATGTCTCCTTATCTTTTAACCTTTCAACTATTTGAATTTAATCAGCTGAAGAATGGAAAACTCCAATACCCACCATGATCTAGCTGGTTAATGGCATAAGATGAAGAACTCACTTTCCAACTAAAGAAATCAGAACAAGCCTAACCTGATTGACAAGCAGAAAGCCAAGCCCAGCTGCTAAAATACCCACTATGTTAGACTGCTAGAGTTTACATTTTTAAATTATTTTAAGCATCAGTAAAAACTTATTCAACATTTTGAATGTTTTGTGGATTATCAGCCTCTACACATGGCTTACACAGCTGACCCCAACCACAGCTTCCATTGGACTTGCCTGCTCTGATTCCTGTAGTCCTTTTCTGGGTAGTATGTTAAGTACCACCCTCAAATTGCTAAGAAGTACACTGCACTCCCTTAAGCTGTCTTGAAAATATCTCCATTTCTATTCCTCTAGCTACCATAAATTCAAAGCTTTCTAAGACCCCTTACACTTCTGCAATCACAACTTCTCTGGCCATCCTGTCACAACTGTCTGTCCTTCACACAACTATCCTGAAGCCCTTTTCCCAAAAACATAAGATTACGTCAGTTTCCAAGTCCTCATGCACAGATCCCTCCCAACAGTTAACTCTCCGACATTCTATGTTCCACTCCTTCCCCCGAGGCACACACTACTGCCTATATTCAGTTCATGCTATATATCTTATTAATTTGCTCATTGTTTTCTTAATGTACTCCCTTGACCACAAATTATCTCAAGCTCTAGTAAAATCCCACCTTACTCATGAAGCTAGTACAGCATTCACTATTTGTGCCACAGTTATGTACCTGACATCCAGCTTTTAGAATATAAGGACTGGGATTTACTCTACTCACTCTCTACCCTCACAACCCAAATTGGAGATGGAATAAAACCAAGAATGCAGCCTTATACACATACCAAAATTATATAACCAAAATAAATTTTTGTTAAACAAATCTAATAACTGGAGTTCTAATTTACCTGAGTTATTACATCAGAAATAATACACAGAAACCCAAGTAATTTTTGAAGAGTAATGAACTGGGCCCAGCGCAGTAGTCTTTGCCTTGCATGCATTGAGATCCCACTTGGGCACTAGTTCGTATCCCAGTTGCTCCACTTCCAACCAGCTCCCGGCTTGTGCCCTGGCAAAGCAGTTGAGGAATGCCCAAAGTCTTGGGACTCTGCACCCCTGTGGGAGACCCGGAAGAAGCTCCTAGCTTTGGATCAACTCAGCTCTGGCTGTTGCAGCCACTTGGAAAGTAAACCAGAGGACGAATCTTTCTGTTTCTCCATCTCTTTGTAAATCTAACTTTTCAATAAAAAGAAATTAACCTTAAAAAAAAGTAATGAACTGACATGAAGTCAGTACACATCCATTCAAACACAAACACAAGTACTTGTATTATAAAACCAGAACGGAAAATTAAATGAAGGCAGCAAAAATAATAAATTATCAGAGTCAATCAAGTTCAGGTTACTAAATTACAAAGAGCACAACTGGGGTCAACTTTGTGACACAGATTATTAAAATTCATGCACTACTGGGCCCGGCGCGGTGGTGCAAGTGGTTAAGGTCCTCGCCTTGCACGCCCGGGATCCCATATGGCTGCCGGTTCTAATCCCGGCAGCCCCACTTCCCATCCAGCTCCCTGCCTGTGGCCTGGGAAAGCAGGCGAGGACGGCCCAAAGCTTTGGGACCCTGCACCCGCGTGGGAGACCCGGAAGAGGCTCCTGGCTTCGGATCGGCATAGCATCGGCTGTTGCAGCTCACTTGGGGAGTGAATCATCGGACGGAAGATCTTCCTCTCTGTCTCTCCTCTCTGTATATCTGCCTCTCCAATAAAAAAAATAATAAAAATAAATCTTTTAAAAAAAAATTCATGCACTATTAGCAAACCACGTCAGTGCATGGTTTGAGTCCCAGCTGCTCCTAAATCTAGTTCCCTGACTAACTTACCTGGGAAAGCAGTGGAAGATGGCCTGAATCCCTGGGTTTTTACCACCCACACAGGACACCTGGAGGGCGTTTTTGGCTTAGTTTTAGCCTAGCCCAATCCCACCTGTCTGTCATGTGGGGAATGCACCAGCAGATGGAAGCTGTCTCTCCCCTCCATGCCTTCTAGATAAATTCATCTTTACACACACATACACGTACGTTTCCCAAATGTTTTCTGGATTAGATGACTTCTTATAAGACAAGGCTTTCATGTAATAAAACCAGTAATATTCCAAAATACTATACAGCCAATGTTTAATGTATTTACTTAATACTGGCTAACTCAACAATTTATGTAGTGCCAGGATCCCAAGGCCAAACGAATCAAAGAAGCATTTTAAAATACAAATGTGGAGCCCGGTGCGATAGTCTAGCACCTAAAGTCCTCGCCTTGCAAACACCGGGATCCCATATGGTCGCCGGTTCCCACCCAGCTCCTTGCTTGTGGCCTCAGAAAGCAATGGAGGAAGGCCCAAGGCCTCGGGACCCTGCACCTGCATGGGAGACTCGGAGGCGGCTCCTGGCTTCGGATCGGATCGACTCAGCTCCAGCCACTGCCAGCTCCTGACTTCTGATCAGCTCGGTTCCAGCTGTTGCGGCCACTTGGGAAATGAACCAGGGAATGGAAGCTCTTTCTCTCTTTATTTCTTCTCTGTGTATCTGACTTTCCAATAAAAATAAATGAATCTTTAAAAAAAAATACAAAATGTGTGATTCTGCCTTTCAAATAAGTAAAATAACTATTAAAAAAGAAAAAGTTTGACAGAAACACAGCCAGGTTACACCTATGTTAACCTGATGATCTATGGGGTTCAGCTGTGTTTAAAATAACACTGGGGGAACTCGTCAATCTATGAAAAATGGGAGGCCAGTCTGTAGATGGCACAGTCATTCAGCTCCCCCCAGGACGAGGTAAAAAGCAAAACGAGAAAAAATTCATTACGTCTTACAGAAAAGAGATTTTAACACAACTATGAAAATAGGAGATTAAAGAAAAAAAGACTAAAACCGATTTGTTATTTATCTTCTATAAAGAAAAAAATTATGGAATGAGGTCTCTAACTTCTTTTTTTTTTTTTTAAAAAAAGATTTATCTATTGGAAAGTCAGATATACAGAGGAGGAGAGACAGAGAGGAAGGTCTTCCGTCTGATGATTCACTCCCCAAGTGAGCGCAATGGCCAATGCTATGCTGATCCGAAGCCAAGATCCAGGAACTTCCTCGGGGTAATCCACACAGGTGCAAGGTCCCAAAGCTTTGGGCCGTCCTCGACTGCTTTCCCAGGCCACGAGCAGGAAGCTGGATGGGAAGTAGAGCTGCCGGGATTAGAACCGGCGCCCAAATGGGATCGCGGGGCATGCAAGGTGAGGACTAGGCCGCTAGGCCACCGCGCCAGGCCCTCTAACTTCTATAATTACGAGAAAAGGAAGTTTCTTACTAAGAATACAGAATTCCTTATAAGAACATAAAATTCCTGATAAGAATACAGCCTTAGGTTACATCAGTATTTCTGAGTTCCAAATCCAATAGATGAACTTCAATGATCTGCTTTAAGGCAGTACATAAGATTACCATCTTCTAAGAACACTCTAATTCCTCAGGAGGGGGGAAATTCTAAAACACTCTTAGGCAGCTGGTAGAATTTTCTAATAGTTACAACGAAAGTGCGATGCCATTAACTTTATTGAGAACGGCTCTGAATTCATGAACAAACCAATCAAATGGGGACTGGGGTGTAGCACAGCCATTAAACTCCTCTGGGAACAAGTGCATCTCATTAGAGTGACTGAGTTTGTGCCTGGCTTCTTTTTAGATTCCAGCTTCCTGTTAATACCAACTTGGAAGGCAGCAAGCAAAGGCTTGCTGAAAAAGGGCACCAGATTAACGTGACCCAAATAAAAGTATTTATTTTAAATACATGAATAGGAAAAGGACAGAAATAATACACAATGTTATTTTTTGATTAAGGACACACATACCAGCTTTTTAACTCTGTACTATAGAGTATAGAATACTACACAGTAAAAAATACTAATGGGAGAAATATTCCAAAATCTCCAGTGGATATCCAAAATGATGGAGAGTACTGAACCCTCTAAACAAGTACTGCAATATCACAATGGACAGCCAAGCAACCACTATGGCTACCAGGTGAAAAGGCAAGCAGGGTAATATTCAGCTTGGATTGCTGCATCAAAGAGGGATGCACATTCCAGGCAGAGTGGAACAAGACTTTATCACGCTAGTAAGAATGATGCACAATCTAGACACATCAATCTTAAGCATACGAAGTGTTGAATTCTGGAATTCTCCATTTAACATTTTCAGAACAAAGTTGACGCTGGGTTACCTTAAACCTTGAAAATCAAACCATAGATGGGTAGGGGGTAACTACTGTACAGAAATACAGAGAGGGGCCCGGCGCGGTGGCGCAAGTGGTTAAAGGTCCTCGCCTTTCACGCCCGGGATCCCATATGGGCGCCGGTTCTAATCCCGGCAGCCCCGCTTCCCTTCCAGCTCCCTGCCTGTGGCCTGGGAAAGCAGTCGAGGACGGCCCAAAGCTTTGGGACCCTGCACCCGCGTGGGAGACCCGGAAGAGGCTCCTGGCTTCAGATCGGCATAGTATCGGCCCGTTGCGCTCACTTGGGGAGTGAATCATCGGATGGAAGATCTTCCTCTCCGTCTCTTCTCCTCTCCGTATATCCGCCTTTCCAATGAAAAAATAATAAAAATAAATCTTTTAAAAAAAAAAAGAAATACAGAGAGGAGTAAATATAGGGATCTCGTGGAAGTGCTCTAACCACCATCACCCATTTACTAAGTGCTTACTCGTCCAATTTCACCACCTTGATTAAACCTGGAAGAAATAACAAAGCCTTCACGGCTCACAGCTGAAGGGGAAAGCGCCCTATCACCCAAATTGGGTTCCATCTGCAAAGATTTTAAGATACTATAAAGATGAGAATTAAAGTAACTTACAGAAAAGGAGAAATTTCTGCAAATGTTAATTGAAAGTAGAAAAAATAGGGAACAAATAGCTAAAACAAACAAGCAAAATGGTAGAAACAGGAATGGGTTAAGCCACCATCTGTGATAACATCCCAAGTTCAAATGCTCACAACGGCCCAGCAGGGTCAGGCCAAATCCAAGCAGTCCATCCAGGTCTCCCACCTTGGTTGAGGAACCCAAGCACATCAGCAATCTCTGCTGTTTAGCAGGAGCATGAACAGGAAACTGGATCCAAAGTGGAGCTGAGACTCAAACCAAGGTGCTCTGACACAAGAGGCAGGTGTTCCAAGCTACAGCATAACCTGCCGTGTAACAACACTCGCTCCCTGAACATCTGCTTGCAAAGATCTCTGGATCCACCCTGTCCAAGATGGAGATACTAAGCTTAAATCAGTTAAAATTCAACGAAAAGGGGAATTCAGTACATTAGTCACACCAGCCACACTGAAGTGCTCAGTAACTACACACGGCTACCATAGCAGACAGCACTGACATTAGAACACTGCCCTCACACAGACTCACTAGGACTGAGTAAGAGAAAGGGACTCCACAGAGCTTCTTAAACTGAACAATTATGTCTCCATTTCTGTGAGGCAGCGCTAACTTCTCATTACTCCAAACCCCTTAGAATAACTGTACACTTCCCCGAAATCATATTAAAGCACTGCAAGAAAAACTGCACAAAACAGGTCAGGTTGAAAATCAATTGGCTTACCTTCTGAGAAATTTTTGATTTACGTTCTACAAAAGAAACAAAAATTACTAAACTATCAACCAAAAACATAAGGCAGTTATGAAAGAAAATTTTAGTACCAGTTAAGATGTGAAACAGAAATATTATTTATGAAAGCATTAACTTTAGACGCTGAGTCCTCTTTCACTAAGAGCTTCCAGGATTTATTTCTGTTTGGTTTATTTTGGCTATCTTTTTAAGGCAACACTATAAAAAGATATATGGGGGACAATAAGCTGAATGATGAAACTACCAAAGGATAAAACAATTACTACACTGAATTTTAAAACAAACATTAAAAATGTCTTGAGCAACTGTGGTCTTACTGTTGATTTAACTTTCTCAAGCACTACAGTATTTACATGGAAAAAAATTACATAAATTTCAGCTGTACTGCTTACTAGGCAAGAAGAACACCTGTCTTACAAATATAACATATTACACAAAATATACTGCGATGTTCAATTTTATGATTCTGGATACTGAAAATAAAGTATCTGTATATTGAAAATAAAAAAAGTAAAGCAGTGACATAATCTAACTTTACCTAAAAGTAAATTTTAAAACAATTGGGGAAGCAGTTTCCAAAATATCACTTGGATGTAATTTTTACATGTAAAACATATTAAATTAACAATCTTATATAGGAATGTTAACATTCTAGAGTTCCAGTAATACAACATACCAAATGGAGACAATATTAGCTTGGTTTTTCCATCCAGTAGCTCAGTTTCAAGCTTTAAACCATCTCTGTAACACAAAGAAAGGCATTTGTCATTGTAAGGAAAAAGCAACATTTCAATTACTCAAAAATGTTCGTTTAAACCTTAGGTATAAATGTTTAGTTTATACATCAATTTAGAAAAAAATAACAACCAAATCTTTTAATCAAAAATGGTTTCCAACCCAAGGTAAAAAAGTTAAGAGGTACAGTGTGAAAATTCTTGAAAGTTTCATGTATTTATCCCTAACCTGAAAACATTTGTGTTGTTAATAAGCAGTAGTGAATTCAGCTGCTATTGCACTTTAATTTTTTTTTAACTCTAGGAAAAACCACACTGTTACCAAAGACCTCAGCGGAGAAGCAAGACATCTACAACTCTAGTTTGAGGATCTGCTCAGAACTAACGCACAGCACGCAAGAGCCGGCACATCTGGCCAGAGCTCCAGTTACTTTGAATATTTCCAATAAAAACATATTCACACTGAATGACTCCTGTCACTACCATGATGCTCCATTTAGCATATGTCAAAAGTATGGGCATGAAGTCACAGCAGACTTAATTAGGACTTAGGTCCTAATTAAAAAACCCCAGATAACAAAAAGGATGGCCCCTACCATACCGTAAATCATCATCTAAGATGGAAGGAGTGTCTGAGAGACAAAATTAACTCAAGCCGTCAAGGGGGGAGAAACGTAAAAACCTGTGGACTGGCTCAGGTGGAGGGGAAAAAGCAAATTACCTCACTTTGTTTATTAAAGGTAAAACGCCACAAGGCTAGGGTTTGGAAGCTTTCTCTTCTGCACGGTCCTCAATAGTTCATCGCCTCTGCTGATGAAACACCACCCAACTTTACCCATCCCACCCACTCACCTCCCCAAAATAAAAATAAAACACCCGGCAACCGTAAACAACCTGAGTTTTTTCCCTCAGCCCCACCTTGCGGAACGTTTCCTTCATTTGCTGCACGACGTGCAATTAAGCCTGCGCTCCGTGACTTTGCCCGTTTTCCTATCGTGAATAAACCTCGGTGGGATGAAAATCCACCCAGCAGCCCTCATTATTTATTCACAACACTACTTGGCGAGTCGCCGAGGACACCGCTTCCTCGCCTCCCCCAAGAAGCCCCCCGTTCCCGGCCGGGTTCGCTGGCGGCCCAGGTGGGCGCGCCGACATTTCCCAAGACCCCAAGGCTGGATACGCGGACCCCGCGCCCCAGCACGCCAAGCCGCCAAGCTTTTGCTCGCCAAGCCTTTTCTCCCTCCCCATCCTAAACTCGGGAGATGGAAAAGAGGTCGAGTGGTTTTAAGCGAGTTAGGAAATCACTGAGTTGTTGGCGGGGTCCGCCAAGGCCGCTCCCAGCCCCGAATCTATCTCGGGGAGCTAAGCTCCGCCACCTCACGCGGCGACCGTCTGGAAGGTTCTCCGACAGACTCCGCGGGGAAGCCCAGCCGCTCTGCCCTCTCGGCTGATGACTATCTCCCTTAACCGCGCCGGCTTACCCCAGGTTCATGGCCTGCCGTCCTCCACCTTCCACAAGCCGCTCAGTCTTCTAGAGTACGCCGGTTACTACGGCCGCTCAATAAGCTCTACGTCCATTGGATACCATGAGACCGGCGAGCCGCAGGCTGAACCAATCGTAGCGGGCTGTGTTGGAGCCTGCTGGGGTTACCGGGGCAACCGGCCTCGCCGACCCAGCCGGGACTCGAGCGCCGGACGCTGCGTTCCTCGCTGTGGTAAACCGCAACGTTCCCAGAACTATGTCTCGCTTCAGTTGGAGGAGGCAAAACAGGAACAAAACATGTAAATATTTTCAGGAAATTCGTGTTTTCCATACTGTTTATACCTGGAGAGAAGGTTGGTCTCGCTACACTAATGGGAAAACCAGGGACCGATATCCAGTTTCTTACCCAGGCTCCTCATGTGAAACCAAGAACATTGTAGTTCTAAGTGGCAAAAATAAGTGTCCGGTACACTCAGCTATCACGTGCCAGGCAGGGATTTAAGCCCCAGTGTTCTAATTCAAGACTTGAGTCCTGAGAGGATAAGAGGTTGGCTTAAAGGTGACTAACCAATGTAATGCCCACCTCGTGCTGCAGGAGCATCCCGCACGCCTCGGTTTAAACCTCACTTGCTCCGCCAAGCCTTCCCGGCATGCAGCGGGCAGGTGGCCAGGGCACCTGAGGCAAGAAAATTATCGCGCCAAAAGTGAGCGTCGGAGAGGAGGACGCCCAGCACCCAACCGCACAGTGTAGACAAGGAATATTTGGAAAATGACTTAACAGCCAAGTTTCTCGATACCCACAACTTAAATGTGACTGATTAATGTAACGAGGTCCTTAAAAGATAGGACAATTGGCAACATGCTTATAAACTTCTTGATCTGCTCCTACCTGATTTTTGCGGATTAAAGTTAACTTACAAAATGAGATGCATGAAGTAGCATGGCACAATTAGGAAAAATGCGAATAAATCGTTTTAGTTTTAACTTTTTGATTTTGGTTTGGTCGGGATATGCTTAAACATTTGTGGACTTCCTCAACTGAGTGAATGAGGATACCTCTATACATTTGATTAGGGATTATTTTTAAATGAACTTTTTTTGTGTGTTGTTAGAGTCCGGGCTAAAGCCCCCCGGACGTCAGGGTGCGAGCTAGTCAACCCAGAGAACGACGAAGAGTCTCCCTGGTAATGCAAACAGCAAACAGAGTTTATTGGGCCAGCATGCTGGGGCCAGACCGCACTTGGGGCACACAGGCCAGCCAAGCAGGGCGGTCGGACCCTGAACAGCCCAAGACAGAAGCTTATATAGGCCCTTTTGGGCTGGGAAATACATCAGAAGTAACAACCTCAGACATGTTCATTTTTATGGCCTTCAGGCACAGGCAGCCTGTTCTGTTCCCATACCCATTATCTGTATGGCTCATCCCATTCTCACACCCTTACCTTCCTCCTGTTCCTGGGACCGGAGAAGAATTGTGCCCTTGCCCCCCTGCACCTGGGCTCACAAAGTTGCAGGTCAGCAAAGAACAGATTTATCACTAAAGCAGAGTCCTCCCAAGCCCCAGGCGCCTCCTGGCCTAGCAAAGTAGCAGTTTTCTCTACACAAAGGAGCTTCACACTGCCCAACAATAGCATTTTACCCACACTCTAACAGTGCATATAAAAAAATGTCCAAAGAGTTGATGCCAACATGTTGCAGGGAATTTTTTCACCTGTAGGTAGAGTGATGTAGCTTTAAAAATACAACTTATCTCACTTTTATGAAAAGAGAAATCCTAATAATAGTTGTCCTTTTGTTGGTCTGGCTTCTCGGCAGGTTTTCAAGGTTCACTTATGTGGTAGTATGTAGAATTCAGTTTCTTATGACTGAATAATATTCCACGGAATGCACATACTACAACTTACGTATCCTTCAATCGTTCATGTGCATTATCGCTGTGTATCATTTGTTGTGGCTGCACGGTTGGCTGCCTCCGTCTTTGGATTATTGTGGATAATGTTACAGCACACATTGGTGTTTAAGTAGCTGGTTGAATCCCTGCTTGTTTGCTAGATGCCTGGGAGTGAAATTGTTGGCTCATAGGACAATTCTGTGGTTAGCTTCTTCAGAAACAGACAGAATGCAGCTACGTCATTTTCTGTTCCCACCAGCAGTACACAAGTGTTTCATTTGTCTACATCTTCACCAATATTGTTTTGCCTTAAAAAAAATCATGGGGCCCAGCGCTGTGGCGCAGTGGTTAAGGTCCTAGCCTTGCACGCCCGGGATCCCATATGGGCACCGGTTCTATCCTGGTAGCCCCACTTCCCATCCAGCTCCAGCCTGTGGCCTGGGAAAGCAGTCAAGGACGGCCCAAAGCTTTGGGACCCTGCACCCATGTGGGAGACCCGGAAGAGGCTCCTGGCTTCGGATCGGCATAGTATCGACCCGTTGTGCTCACTTGGGGAGTGAATCATTGGACGGAAGATCTTGCTCTCTGTCTTTCCTCTCTGTATATCCGCCTTTCCGATAAAAAAAAAAAAAAATAAATCTTAAAAACAAAAGAAAAAAAAATCATGGATGTCTGTTTCCATGGAGCCTCTTCCGGGTCTCCCACGCGGGTGCAGGTTCCCAAAGCTTTGGGCTGTCCTCGACTGCTTTCCCAGGCCACAAGCAGGGAGCTGGAAGGGAAGCGGGGCTGCCGGGATTAGAACCGGCGCCCATATGGGATCCCGGGTGTGCAAGGCGAGGACCTTAACCATTGCACCACCGCGCCGGGCCCCCCCTTTTTTTTTTTAGGATTTATTTATTTTATTGGAAAGGCAGATTTACAGAGAGGTAAGAGAGAGAATGATCTTCCATCTGCTGGTTCACTCCCCAAGGGGCCATAAAGGCCATTCCCCAAGTGGCCATAAAGGCTGCATGGAGCCAGAAGTCAGGAGCCAGGGACTTCCTCTAGGTCTCCCACATTGGTACAGGGTACCAAGGGTCTGGGCCATCCTCAACTGCTTTCCTAGGCCACAGGCAGGGAGCTGGATAGAAAGTGGAGCAGCCAGGACACGGTGCCCATGTGGGATGTTCATGCCTGCAAGCCAAGGACTTTAGCCACTAGGCTGCTGCACAGGGCCCCTCTTTTTCTTTTTTCAGTGTATCCTAGATGGGGAACTAAAGGTTAGAGAGACCCCTCTATCATTTTTGTTGATATTGTCCCTCTTTACTCTCTCTTTTTTTTTCTTAAGATTTATTTATTTATTGGAAAGTCAGATATACAGAGAGGAGAGACAGAAAGGAAGATCTTCCGTCTGATGATTCGCTCCCCAAGTGAGCGCAACGGCCGATGCTATGCCGATCCGAAGCCAGGAGCCTCTTCCAGGTCTCCCACGCGGGTGCAGGGTCCCAAAGCCTTGGGCCGTCCTCGACTGCTTTCCCGGGCCACAGGCAGGGAGCTGGATGGGAAGTGGGGCTGCCGGGATTAGAACTGGCGCCCGTAGGGGGTCCTGGGGCGTTCAAGGCGAGGACTTTTAGCTGCTAGGCCATGCTGCCGGGCCCAACACTAAACATATTCTTACTGTATGACCTAGTGATGCAATCCTTGGTATTTACCCAAAAGAGTTGCAAAATTACTTCGACACATAATGGATGTTTACTTTATCCGTAATTGTCAAAACTTGGATGCAGTCAAGATGCCCTTCAGGAGGTGAACAAATAAACTGATTTGCTGAGACAATGAAATGTTACTCAGAGCTAACAACAAAAAAAAAATAATGAAAGATATGAAAAGATATGGAGAAAATGTAAATGCATATTACTAAGTGAAAGAAACCAATCTGAAGAGCCTAAGAACTGGATGATTCCAGCCACAGCTATATGACAATCTGCAAAAGGCAAAACTATGGAGACAGCGGAAAGATCACTGGTTGCCAGGTGATGGCAGGGACAGGGGTCAGAAGATAGAATATGAGGTATTTACGACAGTGAGACCATTCTGTATGTTACTATACTGGAGGATCATGTCCTTGTACCTCTGTCTAATCCCATCAAATGTAAAGCATCAAGCTAGTTAAGGGGTGTTATGGTCTCTGGGTGATAATAATATATCAAAGCATATTCAGTAATTTTAATAAATGTTACCAGTCTGTTGGCACATATTGATAACGGAGAAGGCTTTGCCTGTGTGGGTAGTAGAGTTTATGTTACCTTGCCGTACTTACCAGTTTGGCTGTGAACCTAAAACTGCTTTAAAGATTATCTATTATAAGAAAAACTCAAAACCCTATTGCCTCAATATAAAGCCCAAAAGACTTCATGTGCTCATGAGCTCAGCTCTGTCTTTAAGATGTATTTATTTTCTATATTTTCTTACTGGAAAGCCAGATATACAGAGAGGAGAAGAGACAGAGAAGAAGATCTTCTGTCCGATGATTCACCCCGTAAGTGGCCACAATGGCCAGAGCTGAGCTGATCTGAAGCTAGGAGCCAGGAGCCTCTTCCAGGTCTCCCATGTGGTTGCAGAGTCCCAAGGCATTGGGCTGTGTTCAACTGCTTTCCCATGCTGCAAGCAGGGAGCTGCATGGGAAGCAGGTTGGCCAGGATTAGAACCAGCACCCATATGGGATCCCAGTGCGTGCAAGGTAGAACTTTAGCTGTTAGGCTACCATGCCAGGCCTCCACCTTCACCTTTTAAATGTCACCTATAGCTGCTGCTGTCACAACACACTAATCTCCTCAACTACAGTCTCCTTTGCTTCAGCTGTGCAGTTTTTCAGCCTACAGATTTCCATTAAGTGCTTATTGTAAGAATTATTTTAGCATAAGGGAGAAAGCAATAAGTAAAATGAACAAAATGCCCGGCCCCCTGGAGCTATTTGTACTTGTTGGAAGACTATCATGACACACCGTTATCAGCATGACTCGTCCTTCAGGTCCTGGCTGGGATGTCACATCCTCCTGGGAGCCTCTTTTGGCTGCTGCATCTCTTGCTTTGCTACATTAAACCCTCTAGCATATATATACTCTGTACCTCAACCCGGAAAGCGTTCGTTGCATGGTATGATTGTCCCTGAAACCCCAGTGAAGTATGAATGAATT